CCTTTCAATCCCAGCACTGGGGAAGCAAAGGCAGGCCGACCTCTGTGAGTTTGAGGCCAGCTTGGTCTACAGAGCAAGTTCCAGGATAGCCAAGGCTACACAGAGAAACCCTGTCTCAGAAAACAAACAACAACAAAAAAAGATTTAGGTAAACTTTTGTCTTATTTTTTAAGTTTTATTTTTATTTTTACTTGTGTGTACGTGTGGGCATGTGCATGGGTGCGCACGCACACATACACACACACACACACACACACACACACACACACACACACACACACACACTTGTCCAGAAAGGCAAGAAAAGGGCATTGGGTCACTTGGAGCTGGAGTTATAGGCAGTTGCAAACCACCCCACATGGCTGCTGGTACCAGAACTCAGGTCTTCTGGAAGAGCAATAAGAGCAATAAGCACTCTTAACCATGGAGCCATCTCTCCAGTCCTGAGGTTTTGTTGTTGTTGTTTAATTAGTTAATTAATTACTTTTTTTTTTGTCCCCATGACAGGGTTTCTCTATGTAGTTGTCCTGGAACTTTCTCTGTAGATCAGGCTGGCCTAGAACTCATGGAGATCTGTCAGCCTCTGCCTTCCAAGTCAGGGGAATTAAAGGCACGTGTCACCACACCTGGCCTGTTTTTGTTTGTTTGTTTTTAAGGCTCTTGTATATGTTTTGTTTTTAGTCAGGGTCTCACTATGAAGCTTTGGCTGTGCTGAAACTTGCTACGTAAACCAGGCTGGCCTCCAATTCACAGAACTCCATTTGCCTCCGTCTCTTGAGTGATGGGATTAAAAACATGTGCCGTTATGTGTGGCACATTTTTTTTTTTTTTCCCTCTCATAAAAGTCTGAGAGTATGGGCTGACTCAGTGGTTAAGATCACACACTGATCTTACAGAGGACCCAAGTTCAGTTCCCAGCACCATGTTCCAGTAGCTCACAACTGCCTGTAACTGCAGCTCCAGAGGAGTCTTCTGACTCTGGCTTCTGCAGGTACCTATACTCACATGCACAAACCACACACAGACACACAAATACATAATAAAAATCAATTTCTCTGTGAGTTTGAGGCCAGCCTGGTCTACATAGTGAGTTCCAGGACAACCAGAGCTACATAGAGAGATCCAGTCTCAAAAAAATAAGTAATAGTAATTAATCCTTTAAAAAAATTCAACACTATCCGGGTGGTGGTGGCACACACCTTTGATCCCAACACTTGGGAGGCAGAGCCAAGTGGATCTCTGTGAGTTCAAGGTCAGCGTGGTCTACAGAGCAAGATCCAGAACAGGCACCAAAACTACACAGAGAAACTCTGTCTAAAAAAAAAAAAAGGGGCTGAAGAGATGGCTCAGAGGTTAAGAGCACTGACTGCTCTTCCAGAGGTCCTGAGTTCAATTCCCAGCAACCACATGGTGGCTCACAACCATCAGTAATGAGATCTGGTGCCCTCTTCTGGCCTGCAGACATAACACTGTATACATAATAAATAAATAAAAAAAAAAAAATCAACACTAAATCTCAAAGAGCTTGCACTGTTTATTGAATTTTTTTTTTTTTTAAGTCTCAGAGTAACTGGGCATGGTGATACATGCCTTTAATCTCAGCACTTGGGAGGCAGAGACAGGAAGATCTCTGTGAGTTCAAGGCCACCCTCTTATACATAAAGTTCCAGGCCAGCCAAGGATACACAATAAGACCCTGTTTTGTTTTGTAGAAAAACAAACAAACAACAAAAAAAGAGTAGGGACTAGAGAGTTGGCTCAGAGGTTAAGAGCACCGACTGCTCTTCCAGAGGTCCTGAGTTCAATTCCCAGCAACCACATGGTGGCTCACAACCAACTGTAATGAGATCTGGCACCCTCTTCTGGTCTGCAGTCAGAACACTGTATACATAATAAATAAATAAATCTTTAAAAAAATAAAAAGCATAAAGCTGAGTGTGGTGGCACACACCTTGAATCCCAGAACTTGGGAGGCAGAAGCAGGCAGATCTCTGTGAGTTTGAGGCCAGCCTGGTCAACAAAGTTTCAGGGCAGCCAGGGCTGTTACACAGAGAAACCCTGTCTTGGGGATTAAAAAAAAAAAAAAAGGCTAGTAAGAGTTTAATGAAACTCAGCAGAAGCTGGCCAAGATCTAATAACCTTGAGCAGAGAATTATCTCATAAGAAATAAAAGGCAGAGAGAAAGTCCACAGAGCCAAAAAGACCTTTTAATTAAAAAAATACATTTATTTACTGAGTATACCTATCTTGTGGTATGTGTATGTGGGTATGCCTGTCATGGCACATGTGTGGAAGTCAGAGGACGGCCTGTAGGAGTCAGTTCCTTCCTTCTGCCATGAGAGTCCTAGGGATGGGACTCAAGTCATCAGGGGAGCCAAAAATCTCACATGTTAACCCTTTCACTGAAGCTTTGGAAAGAAAGGTATTTGCTCCACCCTGAAGAGAAGGAGGAGGAGGAGGTAACGAATAGTTAGTTCCTTTTTCTGGAGGACCAAAGGAAGATAATTCAGAAGCTTGCTGCTGAGTCCAGTGATGCTATGCTTCTTCATAACATGTATGTTGTACCTTAAATATCTAACAGGTATAAATATAGGTAAAACGTGTTAATAGCTTGCAGACATTGATGCAAAATTTTTCCTTACCTACCTTTAACTATTTATTAAAGATTAAAGCCCTGTTCTAACAGGCACTTAGAAACTGTGCTCATTTATTTATTTATTTTTATTTTATGATTATTTATGGCTCAGCAGTTAAGAGCACTAACTGCTCTTCGAGAGGATCTGGGTTCAATTCCCAGCACTCACATGGCAGCTCACAGCTGTCTGTAACTCCAGTTCCAGAGGATCCGACACCCTTACACAGACATACATGCAGGAAAAACACCAATGTACATAAAATAAAAATAATTAAAAAATAAATCTAAAAAAAGAAATTATGTGTAGCTAGAGTTTTCCTGCCTGGTCCACAGTCAGGACAAATCTCTCTCACCTGCCAGTCCCACAGCCGCTCAGACCCGACCAAGTAAACACAGAGACTTCATTGCTTACAAACTGTATGGCCGTGGCAGGCTTCTTGCTAACTGTTCTTACAGCTTAAATTAATCCATTTCCATTAATCTATACCTTGCCACATGGCTCATGGCTTACCGGCATCTTCACATGCTGTTTGTCATCGTGGCGGCTGGCAGTGTCTCATGCTCTACCGACTGAGCTAGCCGGGACTGGCGGGTATCAGAGATTTGTCCTGACTGTGGGCCAGGCAGGAAAACTCTAGTTACAATGATGATGTATTGATTATCTGTAAAGCCATAAGATGCCTTTGCAAGCTTTTGGTCTAGCTAAGCAAGTTTTAAAGTCATCATTTTTTCCCTTTACAGTATTGATGCCAGATTTTTTTAAAACTTTCTTATAAAAGGCATTGCAAAAAAAAAAAAAATCATACACTGAAATGAACCCGATCCAGACTATACAATTCAGTGAACATCCATACTGTTAGGAGTAGCCATTCAAAACCAAAGCTGTGGTGTTTCAAACTGGATTTCTCACTTTCACTCTCATATAGGTTTCTACGCACTTATCTACTACTGGTTCCAGAGGCTCCCTATCATCAGCTGCACCCCCACTTGGGGTTGAGAACTGGGTTCTGAAGACTCCTATCTGGTGAAGGGTGAAGTGTATCCTTTGTTAGACTCACGTGTTTTTATGGAGGAAGCTGTCACTAGGACAAGTGTGGACACATTCTAAAACCTCATAATTGCTAAATCAGTTGTTATTGTTATTATTATTAGTGGTAGTACTATTATATTAAGACAAGGTTTTACTATATTAAGACAAGATGATCCTCTTGCCATTTGCTCAAGCGCTGGCATTATAGGCACGAGCCACTGCCACACCCACACCTAAATAAGTTCCTAAGTAGTTGAATAGCAGGAAAAGAGATAAAAACCATCCCAAACCGGAACAGCTGTATCTCCTGGCCGGGTTTATGAGCTGTGTGCTATGGTGGGTTTAACTAACGGCAATTCATCTTCCAAGTTCTCATCAACAGTTGTTACTGATTTATGATCTTTGGCCTTCAAAGCCGAGAAGAAGCAATGCGCACAACGGAAGTGAGTTACTGGAGTCCTTGTCCTTTCCTGAGCCCCTCCTCCTCTAGTGCTAAATACACGGTAGGCTCACTAAGTTTTTCTGTTTATATCCAGGGACAGGTCAAAGATTAAGGAAGGGAACATTCTGTCCTACACGTTTCACGTAGTGGGAAGAGAGATTTCTTCCTGCAGCAGGCTCCCACCTCATACCAAGCATGGTCAGACCGGTTCCGTTCTTCCCGATCAGTGACTGACGCCCATTCTCTCTGCTGAGTGCTCAGCTGTGCTCCTTACATGTTTGCCCGATTCATTATCCGACTTCTCGGGACAGTGATCTTTTTACCTTGTTTTGCCCACCTATCTCAGCCTCCCTACAAAGTGTGAATCAAGATCATTCACATATGGCCTTCCCGGGTTTTAGGTCTGAGCCCGCAGGAAACAGGACTGCCACGCACGTTTACAGAGTGAAAGATTTTAAAGAGTAAGAGCTAGCACACCGTCAACATTCTTGGAGTGGATGAGGCTCAGAGGACCTTAAAACAAAGGTCCCCTCCCCAATCTCGAACTCCAAGGTTAAGTGGCCTTCTTCCACACGGTCGTCCCAGTTCCCGAAAGTCACCAAGGTTTCTGGAGCTGGGACTTCGGCCGAGGCACGCGCTCCCGGAAGTCAGCAGGTGCACAGACTGGTCAGGTGTCTGTCCTCCGAGCCGGGTCGGCCGCGCACGCCCACTTGCTGACCCTAAGTCTTCTACCGGCGAAGCGAGGGACCCAGAGCCTCTCCAAGTACCAGCGAACGCCGGGTCGGACTACCTCCCCCGAGAGGCCCCGCGCCGACGGCCGCTGATTGGTTACTTCGCAGGGCGCGGGGAGGGGAGGAGCCGCGGAGCCTCGGAGTCGGGGCGGGGGGCGGAGACGCGCCGTGTGCGCGTGCGCGCGGCGGGCGCGATGGCTGCGCGCAGCGGGCTGGCGGCTCTCGGTGCCGGCCGCCGGGCGTGGAATCTTCCTTCGCGCCTGTCTGCGGGGCTCCCGGGCTGCTGGCTCCGGAGAGGTTACGTCGTGGGGCGCGCGGAGGTGAGGACGAGCGGGTTCGGTCCAGCGCGCAGGGCTGGCGGGCGGGAGGGCTGTGCGGGTCACTGAGCATCCCGGTCTCCGGGACGCCCTCCCGGAGACCGTGGAGCCGCTGAACCCTTTGTCCTTCCTGGAGCGCCTTCCGCCCGCTGGAGAAGTCCGTGTCCGGGGAGAACGACCCATCCCAACCCCAGATCAGCCTCGGGTGGGTTCGCAGCTCCTTCCCGCGCGTCCGAAAAGTTTCTTAGCAGTTAATTCGTTTCTACTGTTCGAAGAGCCCGCTGATTCTTATTGCTGAAAAGGTAACTGCTTTGAACATGACCGGTAAACTCTGTACGGCTCAAGTTGTGCAGCCTTCAAGGCAAAAAGAGCTATTTTATTATTTTCTTATGACTGTGTGTGTGATGTGTAGGCGGGCACAGGTGTCGTCTAGAGAACAGCTTTGGGGTTCTCGCCTTCCCAGTGTGTGTCCTGCGGTTGGAACTCATGTCAAGTCACGAGGCTGGCACACACAGCAAGCTCTTTTAACAGCTTAAACTATGTGAGTTTCCAAAACTGAAAAGAATATGAGTCTCTTATTTTTATCTTCCAAACAACCAGTCATTGTATTTTGGCACAGCTGCTTATCTGCTTTGTGGCTGTAAGACTTTAAATCCCAGAGTTCTTGTCATTTCAACCCTGAACTCTGCGTGGACCTCCAAAAATGACGTTTTGAACTGAACCACAATGCTATTATCATGCCTAATTATAAGTGAAGGGATTTGTTGTTTGTTTTTGTGTGAGATGTCTCACTGTGTTCCCTGACTGACCTGGATGGAGCTCTCTCTGTAGACCAGATTGGCCTCTCAAACCCTTGATGATCCTCCTGCCTCGGCCTCCCGGGTGCTAGGATTTCCGGTATGTGCCCCTAGGCCTGGTTCCAAGCAAATGGGCTGTAAGCTTAAACTCTCCGAATGTTGTTGCCTGAGTTCACAGTAGAACAAAAACGGAATTTGAACTGCAGAAAGCGACAGATTTTCCTTCCGCCAGTCACCGCCTCTTCCTTTGGGAAGCATCTGAAGGGAAAGGTCTGCTGTATTTCTCCCCAGCCATCCTTTGTGTCACTCAGCAAGTCATTGCTGGACACCTGAAGAGTCCTAAGCACAGTGCCAGTGTCGTTCACGGCAAGTGGGTGCGAGAGTCCTGCCTCCTCTTCTGTTCAGACCTGTGTGCCGATTCTCTCTGAGAGGAGTACGGTGCGGAAGTGAGAAAAGACCTCTGGGAAAAGAAAAATGTCAGGACTTGTATGGTCACTCTGAAACTACCCAAGAATCCTAGTTTAGGACCCCAGTAGGAATATGTTGAGCATCAGGGAAGGGCTCCAGGGATCCTGAGGGCCCTTTGTTATGAATGAAGTGGGCTGATTACAAGAAGAATACTGATTACAGCCGGGCAGTGGTGGTGCACGCCTTTGATCCCAGCACTCAAAGGCGGATCCAGCCTGGTCTACAGAGCGAGATCCAGGACAGGTACCAAAACTACATGGAGAAACCCTGTCTCGAAAAACCAAAATAAATAAATAAATAAATAAATAAATAAATAAATAAATAGGAAGTATACCGATTACTAGGAGTAGAACTGAACAAGTTGGAAGCTTGTTCAGGTGAGGTGAGAGTGTGTCCAGGCAGAGACCTCAGTGCCTCCTGGAACCCTTGCTTGCTTCCAGGAACTGCCCAAGGAGTCGGGCTAAGGGCCCCAGCTCTGCTGCTAGCTCAGTTTGAAGTGGAATTCTGGATCCAGCACTTGTAAACCAGGCTAGGGAGGCGTTGGCTCATTTTCCTCTCAGAAGTTGGCTCTTTGATCAAGGGGAGGGAGCTGAGAAAAGAACCCAGGCCTTATACAAGTTATGTTTGGACACATTCTTTAGCAGCTACTTTTTCCTTACGCCTTCATGGTACAGTTCTGCTAGGTAATACGCCATTTGAAGATAGATACCCCTCACGGTTTGATAGAAAGAACAGATAAGAATGTTGGTTGTATGTCTGGCTTGGAGCCCAGTATGCTCTACTGGGCGAAGGTGCGAAGGGATCAGCCTTGCAGGCTTTGGGCCGTTTGTTCAAGTATTTCCTGCGTGCATGAGAGACCTGGCTGCTGTTTTCTAGTGGCCAGAAGGGGTGGTCTTTCTGACTTGTTACTTCCTGGTTTTTCCCGTTTTCCTGTCCACCTTCAGCTTGGCTCATGGGCTAAGCCTGGCCATAAGCTAGGTAAAGGAGCTGAAGACAACTGCCCTGGGGGCAAGTCCCTGCTTAGCGGTAGGAAAATGGAGTCATTACTTAGACACTCCTACTTCCTAGTTTACCTGACAAAGTCATAATTTCACTTCCTTAATTACACCCTCTTGTCTTCCCATCCCATCTTGACTGCTGCTGTTTCTCTGGTGTTTATAACTGGCATTCATGGGTTCCATCCTTAAATGTTCTTCTTAATCTTAAATGTTCTTTTTTTTTTTTTTTTTGGTTTTTCGAGACAGGGTTTCTCTGTGTAGCTTTGCGCCTCTCCTGGAACTCACTTGGTAGCCCAGTCTGGCCTGGAACTCACAGAGATCCGCCTGCCTCTGCCTCCCGAGTGCTGGGATTAAAGGCGTGCGCCACCACCGCCCGGCTAAATGTTCTTAAATGGTTCTTCCTCGTTCCTCAAGAATAGACTTTCAAAATGTGTGTGTGTGTGTGTGTGTGTGTGTGTGTGTGTGTGTGTGTGTGTGTGTGTGCAGGTACACCTGAGTACAAGTGCCTTTGTAGGCCAGAGGCATCGCATCCCTGGAGCTGAAGTTGTAGACTGTGAATTGCCTGTTGTAGGTGCTGCGAACCAAGCTTGGATCCTCTGGAAGAGCAGCAATGCTCTTAACCACTGAGCTGTCTCTCTGAAGTCCTGACTTCTTCACACCTGCCCCACAGGTTCCAGACAAGATGCATCGGTCATCCTTCCCCCTGCCTTATGCCTGCTGGGCCTCTTTGGTTCAAGAGTCTAGCGTTGGCATCCATCATTGCTAGCTCAGAATTCTTTCCCAAGAAACTGCCTGTTTAATTTGATCCTTACACTGTATGAATTATCAAACTTAGAACGTTCAGGCCTGGGGTATAGCTCAGTGGTAGGGCACTTGCCTGCCATGCATGAGGTCCAAGGTTCTCTCTCTAGTTTTCCTGAGAACTTAAAAACTTTAAATTGATTGCTCTTTGTGAAAATGCTGCTGTCTTAGTGGTTTGTTTTCTAGGCTAGCTGCTCATTCTGTCCTGTCAACTGAGAAATGAGAGGCTAGAGCACTGTTCATCTGTGCTGGGATTTTGTTTATTAAGGCAGGTCTCACTGTACAGCCCTGCCTGGCCCCAACCTTCCAGTGCTAGGATTAAAGGCCTGTGACAGCATGCCTGGTCCTATCCGTGGTTTGGACTGATCACCACTGGCAGAGCTTTGTGCATAGACTATGTGTGTTCTAAGGGTGGCTTGACCTAGTTGGTACCAACAAAAGAGAAATGGCAGACAGGTTAGGTTAGTTCATTTGTTGTGATAATTGAGGAATGTCTCTTATATTAACAGGCAGTGTATAAACTAAAAATGGAATGAGTTTTCAAAAAAGATTGTTTAGAGATTGGGAAACGGAAATTGAACTTTTTGTTAGGGTGATAACCTTGGGCCTCATGCATGCTAGGCAAAAACACTACCATTGAGCTATGTCTCCAGCCTGAAACATTTTTTAAATATGTAAGTTAATAAAGTTTAATAATTGTGTATATTACAAGGATGAAATACAGTGCCAGTGGCCATGTAGGTTGACATGTACTTTTCAAAAACAGTTTGTCCATATAAGTTGTGTATTTACAATGTTTATGCTCTTTGGCTTCTTTACCCCTATTTTTTAAGAAGCTAAGAAAGGCTTGCCACAGCCCATCATTTGTTAAGCGGAAGCAGGAGGATTAGAAATTGAAAGGAGTTGGGCTACATTCTTATTATTTTATTATTATTTTGGTGGTGTTGGGGTCAACTTCCTATGACTTGTCTCTTATGTAGCATTTTGAGACAGGGACTTGCATAGCTGAGGCTGGCCTTGAACTCTTGAGTCTCCTGACTCACCTCCTGAGTACTGGGAATATAGGCGTGTGCCACTAATCCCTGTTACACCCCCATCATAGCACAAATGTGGAAAAACTTAACTTTGTACACTTATTTGTTTATCTGTTATGGGGGGCACACGCCACGGCACATGTATATCGTTCAGAGGACAAACTGGGGAACTTAATTCTCTCCTTCCTCCACGTGTGTTCTGGGAACAAAACTCAGAGTGTCAGTCTTGGTGACAAGTGCCTTTACCTGCTGAGCCGTTCCACTGGCCAAACTTACACCCACTCGTTTTCCATCTTGCCTTCTTCTCTTTCTTTCTTTCTTTTTTTTTTAAACGCAGGGTCTCACAGTATATTCCTGGCTAGTCTGGAACTTGCTGTGTAGACCAGGCTGGCCTTGAACTCATAGAGATGCTTGCCTCTCCCTTAGAAATGACCAATGACCTGATTTAAACTTTCCAAAATAATTGAAACAGTGTTATTGGTTTATTCACTCTGAATGTTAGATAACTAGAAATGATGTTTAGGGAGTGGGACTATATCTACAAATTGGCAAGACACCAAAGACACCACCTAAAAAAGGTAAGGTGGGCTGCTGGGCATGGTGGCGCACGCCTTTAATCCCAGCACTCGGGAGGCAGAGGCAGGAGAATCTCTGTGAGTTTGAGGCCAGCCTGGTCTTTAGAGCAAGTTGCAAGATAGCCAGGACTACACAGAGAAACCCTGTCTCAACCCCTCCCTCCCCCCAAAAAGCTTTTTTTTTTTCTTTTGAGACAAAGTCAGGTGGCTCAGGCTTGCCTGCGTTGCTATGCTAGTGAGGTTGGCTTCCTCCTGTGTGCTGGTGCTGGGATTACAGGTATGTCACTAAAGAGGATTCTACAATGATTTGTTTGTTCGTTTGTTTTCTGAGACAGGATTTCTCTGTGTAGACCAGGCTGGCCTTGAACTCAGTGGTCTGCCTGCCTCTGCCTCCTGAGTGCTGGGATTAAGTGCTCCCACTTCCCACCTTAAAATGATTAAAAAAAAAATGATGATGGGAATTGAACATAAGTCCTCAAGCATACTAGGCAAATATACTTACCACTCGGGTATATTCCCAGCCCCTAAAACTTAAAAAATGGCTATGGCTGTGAGTGGTGGTATACAACTTTAATCCCAGCAATTGGAAGGCAGAGGCAGGAGGATCTCACAGACTCCAAGCTACCCTAATCTAAATAGTAAGTTCCAGGCCAGCCAGGTCTACAAAACGAGACTCTCCTCAGAAAGGAGAGAGGTGGGGGGCACAGTATGGGGCTGGCTAGATGGCTCAGTAGATAAGAGTACTTGCTCTCTTACAGAGGACCTGGGTTCCATTCCTAATATCCACGTGGTGCCCATAACTCGAGTTCCAAGGGATCCGACACCTTCCCTAGCCTCTTCAGGTATCAGGCACACATATGGTATACATATATGCATCCAGGCAAAACACTCACACATGTAAACTAAATCTTAAAAGGAACTTTTTTTTTTTTTGAGACAAGGTTTCTCTGTGTAGCTTTGCACCTTTCCTGGATCTCACTCTGTAGCCCAGGCTGGCATCATCCAAAGAGAACAAGATGTAGAATTGTATTTTAATAGCCATAGGTATGGGGTAAAAAGAGTAAAGGGGAAATATAAACTAGTCGCATTAAAATACTAGGGTCATGTTTTCTTTGGATTCCTCTAGTTCCTGTTTTAAAATTGCTTATATTTATTTTGCTTTTCCAGGACTGGTCCTTGCTAAGTAGCTATGCTGACTTGAGATTCACTATATAACCCAAGCTGGTCTTAAACTCTAGACCTGCCTTCCTTTGCCTGCTGAGTGCTGGGATTACAGACGTGTGCCACTGCCTGGTACAAAATTAATTTCAACAAAGTAGTTCTGTGTTTGGTAAACTTGGTAAACTTACTTCTTTGCTGTGGGTGGATTTAGCCAATCAGAAATGCCATGCTTTGGTATAGCTGAGTGGTAGAGTTCTTACCTACCCAGTGCAGAGTTTGGTTTCTAGCACCGCCAGAAAGGAGGAGGAAAGCAGGCCATGCTTCCCTCTCTCCTTCTCTCTGATGCCCTTTCTTTTCTTTCTTTTTTTAAGATTTATTTATTTATTATGTATACAATGTTCTGTCTGCATGCATCCCTGCAGGCCAGAAGAGGGAGCCAGATCTCATTACAGATGGTTGTGAGCCACCATGTGGTTGCTGGGAATTGAACTCAGGACCTCTGGAAGAACAGCCAGTGTTCTTAACCTCTGAGCCATCTCTCCAGCCCCATCTGATACCCTTTTCCAAGAGTGACCCGAGGCTGCCTGTGTGTGTGAGGTTCTCCTTCATCTCCTCTGTCTCTCATGCAGTGCCAATCCTCCTCTCCCTCTGTGCAGAGCCCTCCCACCTTTGGATTACTGTTCGACATCGATGGAGTGCTGGTTCGAGGCCACAGAGTGATCCCAGCTGCTCTGGAAGCTTTTGGCAAGCTGACAAACCCCCAGGGACAGATGCGGGTACCTGTGGTTTTTGTCACAAATGCTGGGAACATCTTACAGCACAGCAAAGCCCAGGAGCTGTCAGACCTGCTGGGGTACAAGGTAAGAGGCAACCAGAGCATGGAAACCCAAAGACAGGCTCCAATTGGGTCCTCCAGCCTGCATCCTTTTCTGTAGGTTGTGGTTTGACTAGGGCAGTGGAGTCTTAAAAGTTCTAGCCTAGACTGAGATGACATCAGTAGAGTCTTTACACGCAGTTGTACACGCACATGGTTGAGTGAGCACAGAAATCCTGCCCTTGGGGCTGAGGGTGGAGTTCAGTGGGTAGAATTCATGCCTAGCAAGCGTGAAGCCCTGAGCAGGATTCCAGCACACTCATCACAGTCCATTCAAAACTAGGCTGGGCCACATGACACCCATTTCCGGGAGGTGGGGAGAGGACGGGATTCTGCCCTTTCTATTTTAGTGGTTGTTTTTGAGACAGTGACTCGTATCTGTAGTAGTCGATGAGGACTCTGAACATCTGGCCTCCACTAATTCTGGGATCACAGCTGTGCACTGCCATACCTGGTTTATGTGCTGTGTAGGCGGCTTGGGCTGCTTAGTGAGACCTTGTGTCAAAGAAATAACAAAAACCCTGCCCATCCACACACACACACACACAGCCAGCAGCTGCACAGCTCTGAGTGCTGTCCTCCAAGAGCCGAGCATCTTTGCCCTTTTGCAGTTCCTGGCTCTATCCAAGATGGGTACCTGCTTGGTAAGGGTGAACTTAGTTTTGGGAAGGGGTGCTTTGTAACAAGAGAGTCAATAAAGGCTGATTGATTATTAGGTAGTGCTGGCTGAGGTTGAGTCTAGGGTAGAGGAATGAAGCTGCTACCTTGAAACTCTTTCCAGAAAGGACCCTAAAAGCGTTCTGAGGAACCTAGTGTGGTCGTGCACACCTCTGTAATCTTGTCACATAAGAAACAGAGGAAAGAGATTAACCACAAGTTTGAGGCCAGCTTGAGCTGTGTGGTGAGACCCCCATCTTAGAATAGTAATTCTGAGTAAGGACTACATTGTTGGAGATAGTGTAGATGTTGAAAAGCTGAGTCTTGGGAGCTGGGGAGACGGCACATGGGTGAAGTGTTTGAGTTTGGTCTTTAGCCAGGCTTAGTGGCACATCTGTAATTCCAGGGTTAGGGGGAGGCTTGGAGACAATTGTATCTCCAAGGTTTGCTGGCCAGCCAATCAGCCTGTTAGCCAGTCTGGCAAAACGGAGCTCCAGGTTGAGTGGGAGACTCATTAAGGTGGAGAGTGACTGAGAAAGACACCCAGTGCTGTCTCATGTCTGATTCTCCATACATGAGTCTCCACACAAAAATATGTACACATATGCACCCAAGCACACACTAACTGGATCTTGGACTGGGAGTATGAGGCAGTGATCGAACACTTGCTTTGCATTTGCACGGGCCTGGTTAGTGCCCAGCACTGGAGAGGTAGGGGTAAGCTAAGTTTTTAAGTGGAACTGAAAGCTCAATATCGAGGTCCAAGACAGATTTTTTATGACAGTGACAACAAATGCACTTGTAAAGACTGTGGTTTCCAAGTGAGGGATTAAGAAACCTCAGGGGTGGGGTTGGAGAGATGTTAAGAGCACTGGCTGCTTTTCCAGAGGACCCAGGTTCAAGTCCCGGCACCTACATAGCAGCTCACAACTGTCTGTAACTCCAGTTCCTGGGGATCTGGCACCCTCGCACAGATATACATGCAGGCAAACACCAAGGCACATAAAAAATAAATAAATCTTTAAAAAAAGAAAGAAATATCAGTAGGTCTCCAAGCTAAGCCCAACAGTATTGGTGAACAGTCAGATCTTACATCTGATAATGCTTCTCTTGTTTTGTATGTTGAGAATTAGGCATCCCCACACCACACCCCGCCACACACGTGCACACACACACCCATCCAAGGGATTGAACTCATGATCTCATGCATGCTGGGCCAGCACTCTGTCACTGAGCTACATTCCCAGCTCAAGGTAAATTCTCATTCATATTTGGCTAAGTCTTAGAAAGTGTCGGGGGGGGGGGGGGGGGGGGGGGGGGGCTAGGAAAAGCTTTTACAACTTTGTTTTGAGACAATGTGTCCATCATCCACCCCCCGCCCCCAGTCACAGAATCCATTGGCTGTCTCTCTGTTATTTTCTCTGAACCTTATATCTTCCCCTGCTTTCCTTTTTCTTGGTTGTCTCTGTAGGTAGATCCAGACCAAGTCATTCTCTCTCACAGCCCCATGAAGCTCTTCTTACAGTATCACAACAAGCGGATGCTAGTGTCTGGGCAGGGACCCGTGGTGGAAAATGCCAGATCGTATCCTTTTTGTTTTGCTGTTCTGGATGGAGACGAGATGCCAGAGATGTGAAGTGGGCTCTTGGGGAACACAAGCAGGTCCTTTGTGTGGTCAGTCCTTGTGCCTGGTGGCGCCAGGCCACATACCACCACATCAGAGCCGTCTGCAGGGCTTAATGTCCAGAGTCCTGTGTCTTAATCCCGAATAGTCTTGATCTGTGTCTTGAGGACTCTCTAAGCGCACAGACATCTCCTGGGGTGACTACATGTGGGGTTTTGCTCCAGCCCTCACCCATCCTCGTCAGCTCCTGTCATTGAATAGTACCCTTTGGTCACATGTACTCAGAAAGCAAAGGACACGATCCCTGGTCTCAGGCAGCTTGTTCATGTGCTCTGGATGCTTCCTGGGCACCATGCCAGGTTGTGGTCTAAGGCAGGTCAGGGACCCAGATAAGAGCACTGGGAATGTGACTTAATCAGGGACTTCATACTTGAGAAGGGAAGAACATACCCACAAACAGTAAAAGAATGTTTAAGACAGCCGGTGTTGTCGGGTTCTCCTGAGGAACAGAACCAATAGAGTGAACATATATTATAAATGGAGATTTATTAGCTTGACTTACACAGTAGAGGCTGGGTAGTTCAACAGTGTCATCTACTGCTAGAGAGCCTGAGGACTCTGTAGCTGCTCAGTCCACACTTGATCCTCAGCACTCCCATCCGGCACTGTTCCTGGAGAGAGCTTCAGTACACGATGGAATTCCTCAGACCTCTTATATCTGGGCCACCTCCAAAAGGTACCCCTACTCTGGGGAGGGCCTTTCCCCTCAGTTAACTTTTCCTGATTCGTGTTTCTTAGTTGAATGTTGGTCCAGTCAGGATGGCATGGGCTGGGGAGCTAGCTCAGCTGTGAGGGCATGGCCACCATGCCTAACGACCTGCGTGTGATCAGGACCCACACAGTGAAGGGGGACTGATGCCTCAGGCTGTTCTCTAACGTCCACAAATAAATGTCATTTTAAAAAACGGGCGGTGGTGGCGCACGCCTTTAATCCCAGCACTCGGGAGGCAGAGCCAGGCGGATCTCTGTGAGTTCGAGGCCAGCCTGGTCTCCAAAGCGAGTTCCAGGAAAGGCGCAAAGCTACACAGAGAAACCCTGTCTCGAAAAACCAAAAAAAAAAAAAAAAAAAAAAAAAACGGTTATTACATGACGAGGGGCTGGGGATGAAGCTCAGTTGTAGAGTATTTGTCTCTCATGCATGAGGCCTTAGTTTGAATCCCAAGTCTCACAAGAAGAGAGGCCATAGGGCCAAGGAGATGGCTCAGCAGGTAAACGCACTGGCCTCGAAGCTTAACTGACTTCCGAAGTTGTCCTCTGACATCCACCCGTGCCCCCTCCCCAGCTAAATAAGTGTATTTTAAATAATTGAAAAGATGGGATGCATGTGAAGGCTGCCAAGAATGAGATAGGTTGTAGGTGCTCAGCATAAAGTGTAGAGGGAAATACCTCTGGAGGAGGGCTGGCCTGTAGCTTCCGGGGTTGCTTTGATGGTGCCCTGGGAGGGGCTTAAGACTTTCTAGGAAGGCACGGTAGGCAGTTGGAATGGGTGGAGTTGGGCATTAGAGAGCAGAAGGGTAGGCCGGGGGTGGAGTCTCGGGAAGCTCGGAGCAGTGGAGAACCAGTGCAGGCCCCTTGCTGCAGGAGGATCTGCTAGAATAATCATTTGGGGAGATTGGTTTTGAGTGTCATCTGAAGCTATGTGTAAGGTTGCGGATGGAATTAGGGGCAGGCGGATGGCGGCAGATCTTAGGGGAGAGCAGGCTGGAGGCAGCTCGATCTTCTGCATCTGGCCCCTTCCTTGCTAAATGGAATTTGACTGTCTGTTTTAGTTCCCTCTGACTTCGTTGTGACTGTGGTGTGACCTTTCCTGGGGCGGTGTGAACAAACATGTCTTCAGCCCAGATAGGCACCACCAGCAGACCAGTTGGCTTAATGAGCCAGTCTGCTAACTGGGGTTACCTGACAGGAGTGTGGGGGAGAGGCAGCCACTTCACGCAAAGGCCCACCCCAGAAAAGCCTAGGGTAGCATGACCGATGGAAACTGCATCCATCCCCTGAGCTCTGTGCACAGTTGCAGGCGGTGGCTGCTGGGAGTGTCTCTTCCTCTGAGAATGCTTATATAACCTCACAGGGCAGGGGAGTGGGAGGAGGTGTGGGAGGAAGCTTGTGACTCTGCTAACTTTCAGGGATTCCCACCTCCCTGCAGGAGGGAATGTGTCAACCCAGAGAAGTAGCTATTCATCAGTTACTTACCTGACTTTGCCCCCTTCCATCCATAGAGGAGTCTCCTCCCTCCCCAGGACTTAGGGCTGCACCACTCATGCAGCCCCAGCGTGGGTGGGCCTGAGCCTGGCATCAGCTCCTTGAGTACACAGGCCTTGGGCCTCTGGTCTCTGGGATTGCACTGGTGTTACATGCCTGGGGGGTTATGACAGCTGCCTGCCTGCTGTGCTCAGGACTGGGTCTGGTTCTGCTCACCTTCGACCTGATGTGTCCATAAAAGCACCTTCCTCAGAGCTGTGTAGCTTTGCTTCCCTGACCTTGCTGCAGACTAGGCTTCCAGAATGTGGTGACCGTAGACGAGCTGCGACGAGCCTTCCCGGAGCTGGACATGGTGGACCTCGAGCGGCGGCCGAAGAGCACGGTAATAAGGACAGGGTGGGTCACTTCCCCCTCCACAGTACTCCTGAGGTCTCTGTGTGCCTGTGTTCCTGTTCCTGTGTTGATCCCACGTGTTGGCCCTGCTGCTGGGCGCTGCGTCTTGTTTTATGGATGCTTCTGTCCTGGTCCTCTTGGAGAGGTGTATCTGGCCGAGGATTGTGTTCCCTGGGTGATAAGAATGGCCGAGAGAAGCGGTGGGCTCCTCGCCTTTGCCTTCGCTTTGTTGTAGTATTTCCTGCAGTTAACAGTGCTGCTGTTACTGGCGGCTTCCCAGGTGTTCTTCAGGGCATCGGTAACCTCTGCACGTACTCACTGCTGCTGCTTTACCCTGAAGCACAGTCCAGAGAGGCCGCCTTGTGAGGAAAACACTGAGGGTCTGTGTCTTCCCACTGCCCTTGGTGTTCAGATCATATTTGAAAAAGGTGGTTTGACTTCTTTTTTCAGTTCTGGTGGTTAAACCGAGGGTTATACCTGCTTGGGAAGCCTCTGCCGCTAAGCTACACCCTAGCTCATGATTTCTTATTTCTTGGGATCATCAGTTCTAGGACACTCATTGACCCTTTGGAGTATGACACCTGAGGTGCCCCTTGACACATTCCTTGTAAAAATTTATATATATTTAATAGCTTACATCAATAATTCAGGATTTGATGAAATGCAATTATAGACAAATACGCTTACTTCATTTATTTAATAGAAAGTAGATTATAAGTTCTCCTTCCAGAATTTTCTAGTTGTAGAACAGATCCTGCCCTTTGAGAGCTTTCTCCTGAGTCACTAAAATTCCGAGAAGAACCAGATATAGAGTGGGAACACATCTCAGAATAGCTCCAAGGCTGAGCCCCACACAGAAGTGACTCACCTCAGCCAAGACTGCAGTGGCCCAGGGAAGAACAGGCCCAAGGCTGATAAAGAGAAAACCTCTAGAGCTGGCATAAAGATAAGAGAGTCCTCATGCCCGAGAGCTCCTCTCTCAAGGCCTACTTTCCCCTTTAGCACCCTGATTCTAGAGGCCCCTGCTTGGCCGGGACCTTGTTTTCTGCCCTGCTGGAGAAGCACAGCTCACCACTGCCCCTCCTGGCCAACTTCCTGCGTGGCATCCCTCAGCCTGTGTGGAGCCCACTCTGGGCCTTGTCTTTCCTCTTACACATCTTCTTCCTAAGTTCTCTCTACTTCTTGGCTTGGGCGGTCCTTGGAGGTCTCTGACCTGTGTGGACCTGCCCTTCCTGCTCCTCACCTCCGGGGACTGGTACTCTAGGAGTGGAAAGTGGCTAGCATTGATGGGCCTCCTCTTTGTCTTTTGGCAGGCCCCGAGGAATGACTTCTCCGCCATTGAAGGTAAAAGAGATCCGTGTGCCTGGTAGACGTGGGTTCCTTGTTTTCCCTCTCTCCTTTCAGACTCTTAGGCAGATAGTGTTGAGGGTGGCCCTGTACATTGGGACCCGGGACACCTGGGTTCCAGCCCTGGCTGTCCACTCCGTACTCTGAGACATGTACTGGTGATGCCCTATCTCCACAGTGCTTATGCTACTGTGTTGAAGAACTGTAAGCTCAGCAACCTATCTTGAGAGTAGATAGGTGGGGCTGGAGAGATGGCTCAGTAGTTAAGAGCACCGACTGCTCTTCAGAGGACCCGGGTTCAATTCCCAGCACCCACATTGGCAGCTAACTGTCGCAACTTCAAGATCTGACAACCTCCCACAGACATACATCCAGGCAAAACACCAATGCACATAAAATAAAAATAAGTTATAAAAAAAAACAAAACGAAAGGGAAAGAGAGTAACTAGGTCCTGACAGTCTAGTCCAGTGTTGCTTAGCTCTCCCCTTGGACAGTAGAGACATTGTAACATTTTGTTGCCATACTGAAGTAAAATAATGTTCCCAGGACCCACATCAGAAAGTAATCAAGTGGCCAGTTGTGGTGGTACATATTTGTAGTCTCCCACTTGGGGGGAGCTGAGTTGGAGGATTTGAGTTCAAGGCTAATCTGGGCTTCACAGTAAGATTTATCTCAAAACCAAAGTAATTAGTGTAGCATAATGCCCTCCCTGTACCCGGAGTGAAAGGAAAATTCTTGGTGAAAAGATTGTAAATGTTTCAATATGTTATAGTTAGCTGAGAAGCAAAATGATTGCTGTAAACAGAGTGAGCAGGAATGTTCCAGCAACAGATACAGACTGTGTTTACAGGTGCAGTGCAGGTATGTGGGCAGAATTGCCAGTGAATTGATTTATCAAGTGGAGAACAATTCTTGGGGGTTTTGTTTGTTTGTTTGGTGTTTGGTTTTTGGTTTTTCCTGACAAAGTTTCTCTGTGTAGCCCTGGCTGTCCTGGAACTCACTCTGTAGGCCAGGCTGGCCTTGAACTCAGAGATCTACCTACCTCTGCTTCCAAGTGCTGGGATTAAAGGTGTGTACCACCACTGTAAATTTTTAAGAAATGTTAGAAGTCTCTTGATTATATGATCATTTAAAAAAAATTGTTAATCTGTACAAAAATACCTTGTAAGGCTGGAGAGATGGCTTAGTGATTAGATTTGACTCCAAATACCCACATGGTAGCGCACAACCATCTGTAAATCCATTTCTGGGGATCCAATGCCACCTTCGGGTGTCCACAGACTTGTCCCAGGTATGCATATGTATGCACATACATACATGCCAGCAAAACACTCATACACATAAAATTTTAAAAAATAATAATTAATTAAAATACTTTGTGATTATATATTAGATGGAGTTGCTGGCCAGGGAGTGGTGATGTGCACGCCTTTAATCCCAGCACTCGGGAGGCAGAGGCAGGCGGATCTCTGAGGTTAAGCTCAGCCTGGTCTATAGAGTAAGTTCCAGAATAGCCAGGGCTACACAGAGAAACCCTGTCTTGAAAAAAACAACAACAAAAAATGATGGAGTTGCTCTAATTTTGTGGATGTGCTCTTCCTCTACATGACTATTGGCTGGGACCTCAGATACTGCTAGGGTAGGATAGGACACTCACCTGCTGAGTGTCCAGTTGTGACAATCAAAATATGTCCTCCGTCTTTTAATTTTAACTTTAATTTCTTAAACATTTGTTTGTTTTTGGTACAGGGTCTCTCTACATAGCCCTCTCCTAGAACTCACTGTGTAGACCAGGCCAGCTTTGAACTCACAGAGAGCCACCCCCTCTGCCTCCTGAGTGCTGGGATTAAAGGGGTGCACCTGGCTCACATTTTTATTTTCATTTATGTATGTGTCTGTATATGCCACATGTATTCAGGTTCCCATGGAGGCCAGAAAAGGGTATTGGATCCTTGGAGCTGGAGTTACCGGTAGTTGTGACCCATTTGATGTGGGAGCTGGGCATTGAACTTAGGTCCTCTGCAAGAACATCAAGTGTTTTCAACCACTGAGCTCTCTCTCCAGACCCTTACTTTGTTTTGTTTTGTTTGGAGACAGAGGTCTCACTCTGTAGTCCAGACTGGCTCAACTCTGTGGTCCTCCTATTCCAGCATTCTAAACGCTAGAGTTACAGTTGTGAGCTAAGAGGCCTGCTTGAAACTTACGCTTCTTTTGAAGAAAAGACCTCGTGGTAACCACTGGCCTCTGATTTGTGGGTGCTGAGGGTGACTTGGAGCCACTTATCCTGTCTCCACTCCCAGGGGATAGTGCTGGGGTGGCTGCTGCCGGGCCAGGCCTCCAAGGGATAGTGCTGGGGTGGCTGCTGCCGGGCCAGGCCTTCAAGGGATAGTGCTGGGGTGGCTGCTGCCGGGGCCAGGCCTTCAAGGGATAGTGCTGGGGTGGCTGCTGCCGGGCCAGGCCTCCAAGGGATAGTGCTGGGGTGGCTGCTGCCGGGCCAGGCCTTCAAGGGATAGTGCTGGGGTGGCTGCTGCCGGGCCAGGCCTCCAAGGGATAGTGCTGAGGTGGGTACTGCCGGGCCAGGCCTTCAAGGGATAGTGCTGGGGTGGCTGCTGCCGGGCCAGGCCTCCAAGGGATAGTGCTGGGGTGGCTGCTGCCGGGCCAGGCCTCCAAGGGATAGTGCTGGGGTGGCTGCTGCCGGGCCAGGCCTCCAAGGGATAGTGCTGGGGTGGGTACTGCCCTGTCAGGCCTCCAAGGGATAGTACTGGGGTGGGTGCTGCCCTGTCAGGCCTCCAAGGGATAGTGCTGGGGTGGGTACTGCCCTGTCAGGCCTCCAAGGGATAGTGCTGGGGTGGGTGCTGCCCTGTCAGGCCTCCAAGGGATAGTGCTGGGGTGGGTGCTGCCCTGTCAGGCCTCCAAGGGATAGTGCTGGGGTGGCTGCTGCCGGGCCAGGCCTTCAAGGGATAGTGCTGGGGTGGCTGCTGCCGGGCCAGGCCTTCAAGGGATAGTGCTGGGGTGGCTGCTGCCGGGCCAGGCCTCCAAGGGATAGTGCTGGGGTGGCTGCTGCCGGGCCAGGCCTTCAAGGGATAGTGCTGGGGTGGCTGCTGCCGGGCCAGGCCTCCAAGGGATAGTGCTGAGGTGGGTACTGCCCTGTCAGGCCTCCAAGGGATAGTGCTGGGGTGGGTGCTGCCGGGCCAGGCCTCCAAGGGATAGTGCTGGGGTGGGTACTGCCCTGTCAGGCCTCCAAGGGATAGTGCTGGGGTGGGTGCTGCCCTGTCAGGCCTCCAAGGGATAGTGCTGGGGTGGGTGCTGCCGGGCCAGGCTTGCTTTCATTTGTTTAGTTTGTATTGCTAGGGTTGGGATTTAGGGCCTTGTTCATGCAGGCAAGCTCTTGATTTCTGAGCCACACTTCAGGGCCCGTTGTAGTTGAGGCAGCCAGTAACTGCCACAGTTCCACAGACCACTTACTTGGCTGAGTTAGGATTAGAGCTCAGGGCTCCCCTCATTCCAAGTTCTGCTTGGCTCTTAGGCTCCAAGATGTGACTGAGAGAGAGCAGTAGTACTTGTGGGGTGGGGTGGGTGGGTAGAGTCCCGTCAACAGAAGCAGCGGCAGGGGCTTCTCTGCTGCTTTGACACAGCAGTGACACAGGACACACTTAGGGTGCTGCTGGCAGGTCCTGACTTGGTTCACCCAGGGTGGACTGGGACGTGGCTTGGTCGGCGCTGCTCAGGAACCATTCGCTTGCCCAGATGTGCACCTCAGTAAAGACCTCTAGCTCTGGGTAGGTGTTGCTCACTGGCCTCGGTTGTCTCTGAAGGGCCTTCCACTTACCTACCACAAAGGGTGGGCCAAGTGCCCTGCCCCCTCATCCCTGTGCTTTTGATTTTAGGGGTCCTCCTACTTGGGGAGCCAGTCCGCTGGGAGACAAACCTGCAGCTGATTATGGATGTCCTCCTTAGCAATGGGAACCCTGGGACTGGGCTGGTGACAGCTCCATATCCCCACCTCCCTGTCCTGGCTAGCAACATGGATCTCCTGTGGATGGCTGAAGCCAAGATGCCCAGGTGAGGACACAGTGTCCCGGACTTTTCCCTCATAAGCCCTGTAGGTGCCACAGTAACCTGGCCTCGGAGAGGAAGGGCTTGCGAGAGTTACTTCATGTCAATTATTAAACTAAAACTACAGATGACTGAGCATGAAGACGTGTGGAGTGGTTTTTAAGATGTGCCTGCTGCTCTCAGAACACATCCCTCAAACAGGTAGTTTTAAGGTATAGCAGTGGGTGTGTATTCAAGGCTCTTCCTCCTGGTACTGGTTCTTTGACTTCTATTTGCTTTCATCCGTGAGCCCTAGGGATGGGGAAAACTGGGGTTATAAACCAGGATTATTCCCATGGTGCAGAGCCAAGACCTGAGACCCAGCTGTGTGGCACCTGTGCCCTGCCCTTTTCTGGGGCTGATAGTACCTCATTTCTGGCCCTCGGGGTGCCTGCCTTCTGTGAAGCCAGCCGATGGCTGCTCCGGCTGAGTCCAGAATCTAGTGTGCTGTCACTCTTCCAGAGGCTGTGCATGGTCGTGTTCTAGACCCAGGACAGCCTCGGAGAGGCAGGGCTTCCTCCTGTGATGCGCTCCCCTCCTCCTCCTCTTTCTCTTTCTGTGAGCTGGGATCGCACCGTGTAGCTCATGTTGACTTCAGTTCATTGTTTTCCTGCCTCAACTCCCCGCTAGTTCCTGTCACGTTTGAAGTGTGTTCTGTAGCATGAGGTTTGGTGCTTCTTCTGTTATTCATAGAGTTAGGATATGCTGATTCTAGATGGGGATCAGGTGGGAGTTGGGTATGTCACTGTGTGTTGAAAAGCAAGGAGAAAAACAGTTTATAGACCAGATTTGAGATGAGTTTTCCATTCAAGGAATCACACGATTGTTTTTGTATTGTGAGACATGGTCTTACTCTGTAGCTTTGACTTGTCTGAGACTCACAGTGTAGTGCAAGCTAGCCTTACACTCATGCTTATCCGGTGCCTACCTCCTGAGTGCTGGGATTACAGGCGTGTGCCACTGTGCCTGACTATTTACTTAGTAATCTCAAAGTTAGGATGCGGTGGTTCACAGCGGGAACTTTGGCACTGATGCTGGAGAACCACACGTTTAACACCAGCCTCAGACCAGCCTAGAATACAGCAAAATCCTGCTTCACAAGATGAAAACCAAGAAACAAACAGAAAATGGAATTCTTTTGTTGTTGTTGTTTTGTTTGAGATAGGGTCTTACTGTTTAGCCTTGGTTGGTCTGGAGCGCCCGGTTATAAACCAGGCTGGACTCACAGAAATCTGTCTTCCTCTCCGCCTCCCAAGTTCACCACCACGCCCAGCCAGAAAATGGAATTTGTATGTAAATGAGTGATAGTGAATGTAATACCAAGCACAGTGACTACTAACTAGGGTTTGTTTGGCTTAAAACTGAGGATGGAAGATAAAAACACTTTACACAAGATAGTTTATTGCTTTCTCATGAAAAGAAGTCAGGTTGGCAATCTGGGGCCTTTGTTCAGTCTCTCCTTTATTAAGGACACACACACCTTCCTGAAGCATAATCTTTAATCCTTCGTGTAGAAGCCAGAATGACTGCCTAAGTGTCAGCCGCCACATTAGCATTTCAGGTGGCAGGAAACAGTAGAGTAGGGCTGTTCGCCTGCCACACCAACAGAATACCTGAGTAACGACTTGAAAGGAGGAAGATCCATGTCGGCCCTGGTGATTTGGGGCCTGTGGGGACCAGAACACTGTGATGGGTCGAACGTTGTGGTACAAAAAAGCACTCCCCTCCTGATAACTGGGGAGCAGAGGGAGAGACAGGCAGGCACACCCGCCAGCGACTTGTTTCCTGTTCACTTCCTGAGGATTCCATCGCCTCCCAAGGTTTCAACTAGGGACAAGCCTTCTTGAGTTTGGGGGACCATGTAAGATCCAAACCATGACAAGGACAGAGAAGAGCATGCCCTCCCTTGTTTTAAGGACAGAGTCAAAGCAGTCCAGCATGTGTGCTTCTGCTGACTGGTTAGTGGCGCTTCCTCGCGTGGTTTAAACAAGTGAGCACACCTAGCTTCAAGGGAGGCAGTGAGCACACCTAGCTTCTAGGGAGGCAGTGAGCACACCTAGCTTCTAGGGGGGCAGTGAGCACACCTAGCTTCTAGGGAGGCAGTGAGTACTCCATGCCTAGTAGCCAGTGTGCTTGGCTGGAAATTGACGTTCACAAAGACGGGAAGGACGGCAGCCAGAGCTTGTAGAACAGCATCCAATCTTCGGGTTCAGAGGCCTGGTGAGATGGTGTAGTGGTTAATGCCTGCTACTAAGCCTGATGACCTGAGTTTGAATCTTGGGACCCATGTAAAGGTGGAAGGAGAGAACTGACTCCATAAAGTCATCCTCTGATGCTCAGAGTACACATGTGCATATATAATAATAATAATAATAATAATAATAATAATAATAATAATAATAGCTAAAAAACAAAGCAAAACCAATAGCAAGGTTTGGGGAGTGAGGTTATCAGAGTTTGGACTCTAGTTTTGCTACCCTGGGAAAACTGCCTGCTCTTGCCTCAGTTTCTTCATGTGTAATGGCTATGGGGAGGGGAACTCAGGTTGGGTGCATGAAGACAGCTTAGAGAATGGCAGGTGGCCTGAAGGCTGGATTGCTGAGATCTCTTCTTGGGCAGGTTTGGTCATGGCACCTTTCTGCTGTGCCTGGAAACCATCTACTGGAAAGTAACAGGCAAGGAGCTGAAATACGAGGGCTTGATGGGCAAACCCAGCATCCTCACTTACCAGTACGCCGAGGACATGATCAGGCAGCAGGCTGAGAGGCGGGGCTGGTCTGCCCCCATCAGGAAGCTCTATGCTATAGGGTAAGCCCACTCTATCTCCATCTTTCATGGCTTTCTCTTCCCATCTGCCCACACCACCCTGGCTTCCCTGCAGCTGAGTCACACCACCCTGGCTTCCCTGCAGCTGAGTCACACCACCCCCAGACTGATCTCTGCTCTGGTGCCTTTGTAACATTAAACTTGGGTTTTCTTCTCTCTTTTTTTTTTTTCCGGTATTGCCGCCCTGCCAGTGATAACCCTGTGTCTGATGTCTATGGTGCTAACCTGTTCCACCAGTACCTGCAAATGGCAAAGCGTGGAGAGGAGGGACATGGGACTGGTGGACAGCAAAAGCAGCGGCCTCCAGCAGCCCGGAGCTGTGCCTCCATCCTGGTATCCACTGGCATATACAGCTCTCAGGATGCAGGCTCCCAAGTGCCCGCATCTGGAAGTGCAGAGCCATTCCACGGGCACCGAGACTTCAGCTTCAGGCCGGAGCTCCTAACGGCCTCCCACGTCGTTCGTGACGTGGACGAAGCCGTGCAGCTGGTTTTCCACCAGGAGGGGTGGGTTTGACAGTAAGGAGATGGGGCGGGGGCAAGGGGCTGTTGGGGCCCTCACCTCAGGGACTCCTGTGGGCCACTCTGGTCCAGGTCACAGTCCTTGCCGGGCCCCTTGCCACTACTTCCTGGGATGAAGAAGACCACAGCTTCAGGAGCTGTAGAATGACCTTGGGCAGCATTTCAGGATGACTGGATTTCTGGCACTACCTGTGTGTCTCCTGCAGTCTGACCTCAGGCCGATTCCTTTACCTCTGTGCCTCAGTGTCCTCTCAGCAAGGACTTTTTTCCCCTCAATACAGGGTCTCAACTGTTGTAGCCCTGGCTGTCCTCGAACTCGCTGTGTGGACCAGGCTGTCCTCGAACTCACAGAGATCTGCCTGGCTCTGCCTCCTGAGTGCTGGGATCAAAGATGTTGCCACCACACTTGCCTCAGTAAGGACTTCTAAAAACGGGGACAGTGTAAAATTATGTGCAAACTTCTGGAGGGCCTTTGCTCTCGCTGAGGGAACCCTTGTATGCCAGTACGGTGTGTACTAACACTCTTTTTTTTTTTTTTGGTCTTTCGAGACAGGGTTTCTCTGTGTAGCTTTGCGCCTAACACTCTGGATAGCTTTCACTGTATTCTAAAGTATTGCCCTGAGACTCTTGGGGCTTTTTTTTTTTTTTTTTTAATTAAAAACGACCCTAATATTTGTTATGTTGTGTCTTGTGAAGCTTTATCTGGAATGTGCTAGAAGTCCTGCAGGGGGAGGGGGAGGTGGTACACATGGTACTCTTCCTGAGGCAGAAAAAGTCGTGACATTTCGTTCCCTAAGTATGGCGTCTCCTCTTCTGTGGTCGTTCCTCTCACTCCCAGGTGGGGGCGCTGTCTAGGAATGAATTATTCTGGCTTTGGCATATGCTTAGCAATTTCTTGGTGTAGAAAAGAAAAGAGACCTTGTTTGTGTCTGTTCTGAGGGCTTTCCCATAGTGAGCCCAGAAGTGTGTCCTGCTTGTTATCTTCTGTCCTCAGAGAGTATCCTCCTCCAGTTCGGCCCTGTTTGTCTCTCCCATAACCTTGACATCTGTCAAATGTCTCAGTCTATAGTTTGGAAGTTGACTGCCTTTCAGTGGTCCCCAGCATGATGCTAAGCATTAGATTTGGTGGTACATGGCATTCTCAGCATCCTGAAGGCTGAGGCAAGAGGATTTTGAGTTTGAGAACTACCTAGGACTCATGCATGATACTATCTGAAGAAATGAAAAAAAAATTTTTTTTTCGTTTTTTTGAGACAGGGTTTCTCTGTGTAGCTTTGCGCCTTTCCTGGAACTCATTCTGTAGTCCAGGCCGGCCTCGAACTCACAGAGATCCGCCTGCCTCTGCCTCCCGAGTGTTGGGATTAAAGGCAAATGCCACCACCGCCCGGCCAGAAATGAAAATTTAACAAAACCAAGCCAAAGCCTGACTAAAGAACCCAGTCAGTTCCCGCCTCATCTTACTGCATAGGATACAATCTCCTGACTCCATTTCCTCTCCCTCTGTTCCCCTCCCTTCCCTTCTCATCCTGGTCCCCCTGGTTCTTCCTGCCTTGAACCCCTAGTTACCTGCTTTCACCTCCCAGGAGCTGAGGGTACAGAGGCGTGCCACCACTTTCATTTTTCCTAAAATGCTGTCGGCTACACCTGACTAATTTCTTGACCCCTCTGGGTGCTTCATTGTTCAGAGGTGAGGGAGCAAAGGAGCCTGAGGGGGTGACCAGGGACCGTAGGAGAGTGGAGAGCTGGTGTCCTAGACGCTGAATCAAGACATTGTTGCATGCCCTCTCCCTGAGGACCAGGACCTAGCCATGCACAAGTCCACCCACTCTGGCACCTCCCAAAGAACCCAGTTCCTCTGCTGTCTCCCTGAGGTGCCTTCTCCTTGCCAGGGCCAGAGGCTTGAAGTCATGCTTTCTTCTTTCCCACATCAGCTTTCCTCTTAATGCTTATAGTGTGGGTGCTGCTCAGCTTCATCACCTGCCCCTGCTGAGGTCCCTGGCTTCCTGTGGCTCCAGGATGGAATGAGGAAAAGACACACACACACACACACACAGAGAGAGAGAGAGAGAGAGAGAGAGAGGGGCTTAGGCTGGTGAACTGAGCTCTGTGATGGAGAAGCCACAGCACCCTGTAAGGACAGCATGTTTATTATATATAGTTGAACAGAGAGGTGGTTATTGCATACAGTTGAACAAGGAGATGGAGTTATCGCATACAGATGAGGCAGTAGGAAGTCCAGACTCAGCATTTTGTGGCTGCAAGAGCAGCTCAGGGCTGTCCTTTAGGATTTGGGAGTTTGTCCCACCATCCTTGGTTCTGCATATTCCACGGAGGGAGAAAAGAGAACTTTCCAGAACATTCCCAGGACTTCTAGTCCCATGAATACAATGTGGTCACCGGGGCACCACTAACTTTAAGGGACAAGGACAGAGTACAGGGGAACTCCTCTAAAATTCAGGCTGTGGGGCCAGAGAGAATCTTAGCAGGCAAAGGTGATTGCTGCCCACTCTGACAATCTGAGTGTGTGGGAGCCACGTGGTGAAAGGAGAGAGCTGACCCCCTGCTCCGTGGTACATGTGCCCTCCCTCCCTTAAAAAAAATAATTGTAATCATTTTTCAGATGTTAAAGAGTAAGGTTCTGCTTAGCAAGAATGATAGTAGAATGCATGTTGGACCAGAACGAGCAGCCAGAACGAGCAGCGCAGCTCCAGTGCCTGCCCCTGGACGACACTCAACTGTTACTGCTCTTGTTTAATTTGCAGGGGGAGGGAGCTCTGAGTGTGCTAGGCAAGTATTCTACAGCAGAACTACACCCCTTGCTATGTTGTTTCTTTGTTTTGTTTTTGAGAAAGAGTTTCTTTGTGTGGCCCTGGCTATCCTGGAACTTGCTCTGTAGACCAGGCTGGCCTCAAGCTCACAGATCTGCCTGCCTCTGACTCACACTGGGATTAAAGGCCTGTGCTACCACCTCCTAGCTTTTAATTTACTTCTTAAAAAATATGGTTTGGGGTGGTGGTGCACACCTTTAACTCCAGCACTCAGGAGGCAGAGACAGGCAGATCTCTGAGTTCAAGGCCAGCCTGGTCTACAGAGTGAGTTCCAGGACAGCGAGGGCTACACAGAGAAACCCTGTCTCAAACCCCACCCCACCCCCAAAATATATACGGTTTCGTGTATCCCAGGCTGGCCTCAAGCTTGCTAGAGTCAAGGATGGCTCTGGTCCTCCACCTCCTGTGTGTTGAGATTACAGACATAAACTGTCATATCTGGTTTATGCCACTCTACCAACTGAACTATATCCCTAACCCAATTTACTTATTTCTTGAGTCAGAATCTTGCTTTGGAACTCAGTCTGGCTGCCAATTAAACAATTTTTCTGTCTCAACATCCCAAGTTCTAGGATTAGATGAATGTGGTATGACATCTGGACTCTTATTATTTCTGTTGTGGTTATTTCTTTTCTTTTTTTTCTGTGTGTATGTGTTTCTCTCTCTCTCTCTCTCTCTCTCTCTCTCTCTCTCTCTCTCTCTCTCTCTCTCTCTCTCTCTCTGTGTGTATGTGGGAAGGGGTATGAGTGTGCATGGACACCTATGTGCTCATGCATTTGGAGGCCAGAAGTCTTTGTCTGGTGTCTTCCTCAATCATTCTTCACCTTATTTCATTTTTATTTAATGGTTGAATTTTTATTTTTGTGTATGGTTGTTTTGCTTACAGTGTATCTGTATACCACATACCATATCTGTGTTTGATGCCTGTGGAGACCAGAAGAGGATGTCAGATTCCCCTGGAACTGGAATCACAGATGTTAATCTTGTGGGTGCTGGGCGTCAAACCTGGGTCACCTGGAAGAGTAGCAATGCTCCTAACCTCTGAGCCATCTTATTTTGTAATACAGAGTCCCTCACTGAACTGGGAGCTCACGGATGTGGCTAGTCTGGCTGCCAGTGAGCCCTGGAGACCTCCTGTCCCCACCTTCCCGGTGTGGTAGAATGGGCAGAAGCCACCACACCTGGCTCCGCGTTTGGTGAAATTGTATTTACTATGTGTGTGCAGTACGTGTGGAGGTGCACACGTGCACTGGCAAGTGTGTGAGGGCAGAAGACAGCTTTGTGCAGTTGGATCTCGCCCACCTTCATGTGGGTTCTGGGGGTTGAAATCGGGTTGCTAGGCTCCCATGGGAAACAGTTCCCTGCTGAGCCAGCCCAGGGTTTGTAAATGAGCATCAGTGATTCCTGTGGTTTGGAGCCTCACAAACCCCAGGAGACAGAGGCAGTTCTTTCTTTCTCTTCTTTTTCTTTCTTTCTTTTATGGTTTTGGTTTTTCGAGACAGGGTTTCTCTGTGTAGCTTTGCGCCTTTCCTGGAACTCACTCTGTAGACCAGGCTGGCCTCAAACTCAGAGATCCACCTGCCTCTGCCTCCTGAGTGCTGGGTTTAAAGGCGTGCACCTGTTCCATTTCTTACAAATAAGGTACAAAGGCAGAAGCCATTCAGTGATTCATTTCAGAAACATAAGGCTTGCTATTTGGCCAAGCAGCACTCAGCATCATGGTCTTCCTCCAAGCATTGCCCGGTGGAGCCACAGTCCGGCCTGGCAGGTTGAGCTTGTGTGGAATACAGCTGGGTATTGGAGAAAACAGAAGGACAAAACCAAGCGTGGCCATGTGAGGGCACCAGGACTCTAGCTCAGATCCTCTGGCACAGCCCTGGGGACTGTTGTAACAGTGGTCATTTCTTCTCTCTTGCTTATGTTTGGTTAAAACATTACACATGGTTCCTGGCTGGGTGCGGAACTGTGGCGTGCATACTGACGGTTCATACGTGGATCTGTGGGGAGTACAGCACCACCACCACCAGGCAGCAGCAAGTCCAGTCCTGTCCCCAGGGCCGTTAGCCAAATGGGAAGTGGAGACTGAAGTCAAAACCAACTGCCTTCATCTGCTCGATATCAAACTGAATGAAAATGTAACCTGTACGTGTTTCAATGAAGCAACAAAACCAAGGGTGTCTAGGACAGCCACGTCTATCACACCCTGTTTCAAAAAACCAGAAACAAACAAAAACCAATGTAACAAGCAAAAAGGCCATATATCAACTTGAATGGTGTGTAAGTTTTTTAATAACTATTTTCGCGTTGCTGAAAGTGAAAGTCAGGGCTTTGTGCATGCTAGGCCAGGGGTCCAACACTTCTGTTTCGTTTTTTTGTTAAGAGAGTGTCTTGTAGCCCAGGCTAGCTGAAAAATTGCTTTCTAGGGAAGGTGACCTTGAATTCCTGAGCTGCCCGCCTTCACTTCTCAAGTGCAGGAATTGTAAGTATACATCACCACACCTGGACCCCATGACCCCCACCAGCCCCCACCAGTGTTGAGATCAAACCCAGGGGATCATACATGGTAGGCAATGAGCCTGTAGTTTGCTTTTATTTTATTTTAGGGGATGGGTTTCCGTATGTTGTCTAGGCTGGTCTTGAACACCTGGAGTCAAGTGATCCTCTGCCTCTGCCTCCCCAGGGCTGGAACTACAGGCTTGAGCCACTACCATCCCTGATGAGCCCGTATTTTCCATGAAATTATCAGTCTGGGACAAAGGTGCTGTCAGGCATTCACAGTGAACAGATATAACCACTGAGGCACTATGTGAGTGGCCCACGGATGGCAGACCCCCCAGAGCTGCTGAAGAACACCTCTGAACTGCCTGACACGGGTGCTGGGAGCATGTTGGTAATCAGGACACCCCACAGAGCCAGGGTTGCTGTAGCAACCGGATGCTGCCTTGAGGGAGGAATTTTAAAATACATTGGCTAAAATAATTGTGTGTTTAAACACCATTCTGTCATTTCCCAGTGTTCCTGCTCTGCTGAGGTGGGTCATGTTAGGATGCCTGTTTCTCTGCCTGAGGCTCTTGGCGGCTTCTGGGGCTTGGAGGTGGGAAGATGTCACAGAATGTGAAGCGCTAGGAAGCTGACCGAGGTCTGGCAGCATTTGCTTCCAGGTTCCTGCAGCTCTTGCTTCCAAAGCCTGTGCCATTTTCCCTTTGGAGGATAGGAGTCTGGCTTGACGCTCTCCCGTCTCCCCCCACTCTGACTCCCAACCCTTCCTACATAGCCACAGAGTTCCTTGGGCCCTCTTTTTGGAGGGCAGGGCACTTCTTCTTCTGTGTCTGTTCCTTCCTTTGCTCCTGCTTCTTCATTTACTCAGCCAGCAAATGCTGCTGGGCCCCTACCAACAGGTTGTACAGCTGGTCAGTAGATAGACAGGAAGCTCATTAGCCAGCTAGCAAATCAAGCTCGATATTAAATTGAGTATTAAGCCTATATTTGTTGTAGAAGCGTCTGGTTTTAGAGGAATTTTTGTGCCAAGCCCATATTTGTGTGCTTACATTCAGTTGTGATGGGCCTATGTGTGGTGGCTGATCTTGGTTGTCAACTTGACTACATCTGGAATTAACTCAAACCCAATCAGCTGGGTACACCTGTGAGAGATTTTTCTTAAATCTTTTAAGGTGGGAAGATCCACCTTTAATCTGGGCCACACCTTCTCGTGGCAGCCTGTAAAGGACATGGAAGAAGGAAGCTTTTGCTCTTGGCCTGCTTGCCCATGCTGTCGCTTGCAAGTCCATCCCTTCACTGGCATTAGAGCCTGCTTCTTTGGGAGTCTGGCATATATTGAAGACCAGATGAGACATCCAGCCTTGTGGACTAAGCAGCTACTGGATTCTTGGACTTTCTATTGGTAGACAGCCATTGTTGGACCACATCCTGTAAGCCACTCTACCAGTTCTGGTCCTGTGGAGGACCTTGACTAACACACTATTCATGTCAAGTTAGTGGAGGCCCTACGTGTTGAGCCCCAAATCAACCTGATTGATGACAAGAAGAAACTAGGGTGATGAATAGGCTCCTGCAAAGTTGGTGGAGAATCCAAACCCTATAAAATGGTTGGTTACAGTAGTGCAGTGGTTGCAGATTATGATGAAGAATCTCAGGCCAACGATGTCATTGAAGAATACTTCAGATGCAAGAAATGAACAAATAGAAAACGGGTTCATTTTAAGAGAAGAAAGGAAGGGCAGAGCCTGGAGCCTCCAGGAGAGTCCCTGGTATTGAGTTCACATCGTAAAGCCCCAAACCTAGTGTCTGATGGACACACTTGCTTAGGAAGAATGCAGCTTGTATGCACCTGCTGACTTCCTCTACAACTTTTCCATTCACGCCCCCAGCCCGTTGTTTGTGCCATCTGAATTCGAGGCACGCCCCTCACTCTCGGTCACTGCCCAACATGTCAGTCCTCTCTGGAGATGCCACTGCAGCCATATCTAGAGATCCTAAATAGCTTTAATTCCAGTAAAGTTGACAGCTAAGACCAACCATCATCACACTTGGCTTCTGTGATGGTTCCTGTTGTCAGCTTGACAAGATGCAGAACCAGTCATCAGGTGCTCATGAGCTAACCCTCTGGGCATGTCTGGAAGGGGTTTTCTTGATCAGGTTATTTACAGCTGGAGGACCCACCCTAAAAGTGGGCAGCACCTGCCAGTGGCAGCGCAAATGAAAGGAAGTCTAAGGGGAGCTCTTGCTTTTGACTGCCCGCCTTTGTGTCTCCACGGAGAGTTTCACTGATGCTACTGTTGCTGCTGCCGCCATCCTTCACCGGTAACAGAACCAATCCTCTTCCATTCAGTGTGAACTGAAGACCAAATCAGCTCCAGACTGATTGCTGTGGCATCCAGCTTCATGGACCGAGCAGATAGGTTCTCAGCCTCTCCAGTTTGAAGACATTCATTTTTGGACTACCCAGACTGTACCATGCAAGCCAGTCCAACTGATCTCCTTTTAATATATTTATTCTATTGATTCTGGTCCTCCAGAGAACTGTAGCTAATCAGCTTGTACATGATAGAGGCAGGATTTGAACCTAGGTGATCTGCCTTTAGGATACACTCACTGTGATAAGATACCCCAACAAAAGCAATTTACAGGAAAAGGATTTATTTTGCTTCACACTTTGAAGTTACAGTCCATCATGGTAGGGAAGTCACAGTATCAGGAGCTTGAGGTATCTGGTCACACTGCATCTCCAGTCAGGAAAGAGGACAAAGAGTGCTTGTGCGCAGCCCACATTCTCTTTTTTATACAGCCCAGGATACCAGCCCACCCAGAGTGGGTGGGTGTCTTAGCTACTTTTCTCTTGCTGTGACAAAACACCATGACCAAGGCAACTTATAAAAGAAAGTGTTTAGCAGGGTGGTGGTGGTGGCGCACGCCTTTAATTCCAGCACTCGGGAGGCAGAGGCAAGCAGATCTCTGAGTTCGAGGGCGGCCTGGTCTATGGCCAGAGCTACATAGAGAAATCCTGTCTCAAAAAAGCAAACAAAAAAAAAGTGTTTAATTGGGCTTATGGTTTCAGAGAGTTAGAGTCCAAATGGTATAGCAAAAGCGTGGCAGAGGGTCATAGGAGAGCTCAGGAAGCAGAAAGGGAGGGCACACTGGAAATGGTTCAAGTCTTTTGAAACCTCAAAAACACGCATCCTCCAATAAGTCACACCTCCCAATTCTTCCCAAACAGTTCCAGTGATGGAAAAGTTGTTCTCATGCTTTTCTTTAATTTCATAAATGAATTTTCCTGAATGATTAAAACCTTTTTTTTTTTTTTCAATTTTTCGAGACAGGGTTTGTGTAACAGCCCTAGCTGTCCTGAAACTCACTTTGTAGATCAGGCTGGCCTTGAACTCACAGAGATCTGCCTGCCTCTGCCTCCCAAATGCTAATGGCATGTGCCACTATACCCAGCACAACTTTTAAAACATTTAAAATAGCTGCTTTACTGTGTTAACTGGTATTTGGGCTTCCTCAGAACCGGTTTCCATCGACTGCTTTCTTCCAGTGTAGAGAAAATACTTCCCTGGTGATTTTGTTTTTACATGCCTCATAGTCTCTGTTGAGAACTAGACAGTTCGGTTCTGTGGTTGGGGCTCAGTTGGTGGAGCGATTGCCTTGGATGTGTGACGCGTCAACAGCTCCCAGCACCACATAAACCAGGCAGGGTGGCACGTGATTGTAATCCCAACAGCAGGAAGGCAGAGGCGGGAGGATCAGAAGTTGAAGATCATCTTTGGCCATATATCAAGTTTGAGGCAAAGCTAGGTAACATGAGACTACATGTCTCCAGAAAAAAGCGCATGTGGTGGTGGTGGTGGTGGACCTGGAAATTTTAACTATAATATGGAAATACTGAAATGTAATATGAAATGTGGACGTTTTCCTACCCAAGATGTGTTGTGATTGCTGATTTTGTTTTTGCCTCTGATAGTTAATTTGCACTATCACCTTGACTGAATCTGGAACCACCTAGGAGACATGCTTGTGAGTGTGTCTATGAGGGTGTTTCCAAAGGTTAACTTGGGGAAAGGAGGCCTGCTCTGAATGTGGGCAGCACCATCGCGTGGACTGAAGCCCAGAACTGAACAAAAGCAGGAAGTCAGATGAGACCCAGCATTCAATGCCTTCTGCTCTCTGGCTGCAGACATGACAGGCTGTATCAGTTTCCTGATACCATGCCTTCTCCACCGTGGTGAACTGTATCCCTTCGAACAGTGAACCAAAATTAACCCGTTGTAAATCGATGCATTAGGTATTTAATCACAGCAGTGAGATGAGTGACCAATACAGAAAATCCGTATAGAGAAGCACACAGCAGCTTCCAGCTGTAACTCAGCCTCAGGAAATCGGATGCCCTCTTCTGGCCTCTATTCACGCACTTGGTGCACAGACATGCTGCGGATGATAGCTCAGGGGTAGAATGCTTACTTGTCTAGCCTGTGTGAGGCTCTGGGGTCGGCCTCCTGCACCATACACCACCACCAACAAACAGAGCCAGGTATGTTGGCACACACTTTTAATCCCAGCACCTGGAACACAGAAGTAGGCAGATCTCTGTGAGTTAAAGGCTAACCTGGTCTATATAATGAGTTCCAGGACAGCTGGGAGTACAAAGTGAGGCCCTGTCTTAAAACAAGCAAAAATGTCCCTCACCTTCTCATTAGATGAACTATTCATTAAAGTGATGCTATATACTATGCTGGGCGGTGGTGGCGCAAACCTTTAATCCCAGCACTCGGGAGGCAGAGGCAGGATTTAGTCTACCATCCACACCTCTCAGTGCTTGGTAGCTTGCCTGCTTTCTCCTAAGAGGAACTTGCTTTCGCATTTCAGAGAAAATCTGTGGAACCTCAGCATCTGGCTCAGGGGCTGATGCACAGGGACACTGTCCCTGTGGGTGGCAGCATCACCATGAGGCCTCCACTGGGCAGCTCAGGGCGCACCCCGGACTCTGTAACAGCTCTGCGTTTGGGGAAATGCAGCATCTGTTCTCTGAGAGCGCTGGGTAGTTCTGAGGCTTCAAGTCCTCGTGAGCTGAGTCTTCACGGGCGGGGTTCCCACTTTGGTCTCACTCTCCTGCTAGGTTTGCTCTTTCTGAGCGCAGCGGATGCTGATTGTGACTGAGAACCAGTGAACTCCACTTGTCTTTTCTCATCTCATGTTCACACGTGGGACCTCTGTGAGCTCCACACATGCTCTGACAGCTCCCTTTCAACCTGGCCTTTATTCTTGCTCTAAAGGTGAGAGGCAGTGATTCCAAGCAGAGAATGAATCAGCTGGGAACAGGGCCCATGGTCAGTGCAAGTGAAGACTAGCTCGCCCCACTGACCCTTCCTCCACTGCTGAGCTGGACAAGGCCACTTCGTCCTGCTGGTTTGCCTCTTGTTCCTCAGGGAGGCCATGAGCCATTGGCTTTGTAGTTCAGAAGCAGGGGGTGTTAGGTTGCCAAAAGAACCTCCTAGTACATGAGGAGCGCTCAGGGAAATGGCTTTGACTGACCCCTTCCTCCCATGCCCGTGAGCTGCTGACATCTGGGTTTGTGAGGAGAGTGGCAGCCAGGCTGACAGGCAGGTGTCTAGTTCATCTACCCTGCACTTCTTCAGCTAGTAACATGACTTGGATAGCCTGAATTTGCACTCTCCATTCCCAGGTGTTGTGCGGAAGGCGCCCATCAGTGCTTGTAAGGAGCTCTGTAACTGTTTCTTTCCTTGTCTAGATCCTTCTGAGCTGTTTATAGTTAACTCCCTACTCCCACCCCCAACCCAGTGTGTGTGTAGAGGAGGCTGGGAATTATGCAATCTAAAGAGAAGAGAGATGCCTCCAGTACTCTGGCCACTAACTTATTCCATAATTATGCTGACTTATCCTGATTATTGGTGTTCTTGTTACTCAGGGTCTAGGGTCTACAGGAAATCTAGATAAAGAACCTCTTACAGAAATTAACTCTAGGGCTGGAGAGATGGCTCAGAAGTTAAGAGCACTGACTGCTTTTCCAGAGGACCTGGGTTCAATTCTCAGCACCCACATGGCAGCTCACAACTGTCTGTAACTCCAAGATCTGACACCCTCACATAGCCATACATGCAGGCAAAGTACCAATGCAAATAAAATAAAAATAAATGAATTATTTTTTAAAAAGAAATTAACTCTATGTAGGGGCTGGAGAGGTAGTTCATTAGTTAAAAGTACTGGCTGCTTTTCTGGAGGACCCAGGTTTGATTCCCAGCATCCAAGTGATGACTCACAACCACCTGTAACTCCCATCCCATGGGATCCAACATTCTCTTCTGACCTCTGCAGGACCCAGGCACACAGGTGCTACACAGAGATACACGCAGACAAAACACCCACACACATACAATAAATTAATAATACAATAAGAAGAAAGTTCACCCCATTGGATGAGAATACACTTCAAAAGATAGCTAAAATAAAATAATCTGTGAAGGACAGGGTTCATCCTGATGGGTGGGTCTGCGGCAGGGACAGGGAGGCTGGTTCTTCAGCATCCTCAGGAGTCCCAGTGCCTTTCCGTTGTGTTCAGCGGCTTTTACATCCAATGGCTTAAGAAGGAGTCTCAGGCCAGCTCCCACGTTCGCGTTCCCTGGGGAAGACTAGGAGACCGCCTATAGTCACTCCCATTAGGACCTGGCAGTTTCCCAGGCCCCTCTTCAACCTGGACGACTCAACCCAGACATCTGCTGGCCCTGGCAGGATGTGCACAAGTGGAGGTTGCATTATTCCCACCCTGCCCCAAGTGAGTGGCCCTGGCACAAGCTGGGACGGCTGACGCTCTCACGCCGTGAGGTTTATGGAGGCCAGATTTAAGAACCAGGGCTTTTGTTTTGTTTTGTTTGTTTGTTTGTGTTTGGTTTTGCATTTTGAGAGAGTATTTCTCTGTGTAATGAACGGCCCTAGCTGTCCTGGAACTTGCTTAGTAGACCAGGCTGACCTCTAACTCAGAGCTTCACCTGCCTCTGCCTCCTGAGTGCTGAGATTAAAGGTGTGTGCCACCACTGCCCAGCAAGGACCAGTGCTTGTTTGCTTGTTTGTTTGTTTGTTTGTTTGTTTTAGAGACAGAGTTTCTCTGTGTAGTTTTGGTACCTGTCCTGGATCTCACTCTGTAGACCAGGCTGGCCTCAAACTCACAGAGATCCGCTGGGCTCTGCCTCCTGAGTGCTGGGATTAAAGGCGTGCGCCACCGTCGCCCAGCTGAACAAGTGCTCTTAACAGCAGTTTGCTCCCTGGTACTAGCTCAAGGGTGGAGCTTCAAGGGAGAAGACCTGACTGCAGGCTTGAGAAGGAGCCTGGCACAGATGACAGCCACCACGTATGAGTAAATGACCCTGGGAGACAGAGGTGTAGACTGAGTAGCTGAACACCAGCTTCTTTAACCGAGTCTACACTCCAATCCAGCACTAGGCTAAGCCGCTCACACACATGACCTCTCAACACAAAATTTCCTTAAAATAAGTGCTGGTCCCTTTGTGTAGATCAGCGTGAAGCTCAGAGGTGAGATAACTGGCCTCAGCTCCCACAGGCTGTGTGATGGAGCTGGGGCTGTGGGTTCCCACACTTACACTTGCTCTGCCTTCTGGACATAGGACATTTCAAGGTTGTCTGTGCCAGAGTGAGGGATAGGAAGATTGTACAAGTCATAAGTTCTGAATTCTATGTGTGCCATGGATTTGTCCAAACCGTCCTCCAAGAAGCTAGAAAAAGCTGGTTCGGCTGACACAGGTTCTTCTTCTCTGAAAATTTTCTTTTCATGGGATGTGGTTGTACACACCATTAATCCCAGTAGTACTCAGGAGGCAGAGGCAGGAAGGAGGATCTTTGTGAGTTCAAGGCCAGCCTGGTCTACAGAGAGAGTTCCAGGACAGCCAGGGCTACACAGAGAAACACTGTCATGGAAAAAAAAAAGTAGAAAATTTTCTTTTCGATTTATTTATTTTACTTTCTGTATATGAGTGTTTTGTTTGCATGTCCGACTGTGTACCACTTGCATGCCTGGTACCAACAGAGGTCAGAAGAGGGCGCCAGATTGCCTTGAACTGGAGTTACAGATGGTGGTGAGCCACCGTGTGTGCTGGGAACTGAATCTGGGTCCTTTGCAAAAATCGCAGGTGCTCCACTAAGCCATCTCTATAGCTCCAGATTCTTCTACTCGAGGCAGATCTAAGGGCAAGGCTGTGGCCAACACTATGGTGGTTCCACCCAGGCAGACAACTGTGGCAGCAGCTTTGAGGCAGTGAAATCAGGGCAGGGGCCGTACAGGCTGCAGGATGAGGGAGTGAGGCATGGGCAAGCTCCTAACTTGGAGTGGCACCTTCTTGAGCCCCAAATGGTATAGTTGTTTTCTTCTCCTCTACCCCTAAAAGCAACACTGCCTCCTGCCTTGCAGGGCTCCTACCTGGGGCTCCAGCCCCTGGGCAGACTCAGCCCATGGAACTGTCCTGGCTGGCCTTGAACTCAGAATGCTCCTGTTTCAGCTTCCTGAGTGGCTTTTGGAGGAGCTGGCCTGATGCGCCAGGCCCAGCTGGAGTCTATTTGTATGCAGACTTCTATACCTCTAAAGATCCCTTTTCCTCCTTTGCTAAACATAGTTTCTTGTTACTTCAACTCCGGCTTTAACTTCTTTGTTTGTTTTTGTGGCAGGGTCTCGTGTAGCCCAAGACGGCCTCAGACTTGCTATGTAGTTGAAGACTACCTTGAACTCCTCCTGATCCTTCTGCTCTACCTTCTCAGACCTGGAATCACAGATGTGGGCCACCACGTCTAGTTTTATGGGGGTTGGGGGAGGAACCCAGCACTTCATGCATGCTAGGTAAAAATCTTTGAGAATACTAAAGACAGGCCTAGCTAAGTAAGCAGAGGCTCCTCTCCAAACCACCTCCACCCCTGGCAGTCTGCAGAGCTACTTCATGCCTTGGCCCTGCGGGCCTTCCCCAACTCCAGAGCTAGGCAGGTACAGCCTCCTTTCCTAGGCTCTCTTCTCAGCAATTACATTCAGGGAGCTTTTCCATTGCCTGGAAATTGCGATCTCACCGGGGAGAGAGGACACAGTGTTGGATGTCTAAATATATAGTATTTGTTTGGGATTGCTCTTTCTGAATAATAGAGTTTGGGTATTCATCTATTTATTCATTTATTTTTTTTGGTGCTGGAGGTGGAACCCCAGGACTTACGCATGCAAGGCAAGATCGCTCTATCAATTGAGACACATCATCCCGGTCCCCTTCTGGTTCTTTTTTATTTTCACTTTTTAATCACTTCCATCGAGTTCTCAGGGCGTTAAGGGGAGGAGATGCAGGGTCGCTCGCTGTTGGCGCACAGAGCCGAGAGTTGGCCCGACCGCGTATCCTCCTATAGGCGCTGTGCAGACTAGGGGCAGAAATGAACAAGGTGCTGGGAGGCACAAGGGTGTGGTCTACACTGAGACCAAGGCCACCTGGCAGTTCAGGTTACGGAGCTAGCGACTTCAGGAAACTTATGTCCTGCCAGTCCCGCCGCGCTCTCAGCTCTACTCCGGCGTCTCGGTTCTCCCTCCTTTCCTTCCTGCGGATCCAGCCAGCCAGGCTTTCTCCTCCTCTGTTCTCGCCTCCTCTCCCCCTTGAATCCAGTCCTGGTTTCCCCGCTGCCAGCTCCTTCTTCTGCCTGCTGGGCTCGCTCCCCGCCTCCGCCCCCGCCTCTCCAGTCCCGGCGGTCCGCTCGGCTCCCCTGCTCCCCTCTCGCAGCACCCCCCAACCCCCCCAGCCACCCGCGGCTCCACTCGCCCAGTCCGGCCGCTCCAGTCCGGATCTCGCTGCCGCCCGACCCGGGTGCGAGTTCCAGCAGCTGGAGAGGAGGCGGCAAGCGGCTGGCCCCGGTTCCCCACTGCCGCCTCGTCAGCCCGAGGTTGGCGGGGAGAGAGAGCGGCCCAGCAGCCCCGGGAGCCCCTCCGAGGACAATGCACCCGGCGCTGGGCCACCCTCGCGCGCTCTCGTCCGCGCCCGCCTCCTTCCCGCCGCCCCCCGCCGCCGCCCGGCTGCAGCCCCTCTTCCTCCGGGGGGGCTCCTCCCGCGGCCGGAGAGGCTCGGGCGACAGCAGCACCAGCACCAGCACCAGCCGCGGGGCGGGCGGCGGCAGACGCGGCGGGGGCGGCGGCTCCCCGAGCAGCAGCACAGGCGCGGAGCGAGAGGACGACGACGAGAGCATTAGCATCAGCAAGCCCCTGGTGCCCGCCGCCGCCGCCGCCGCCGCGCTCCCGGGGCCCCCGGCTCAGGGGGGCGCCCCCGCCTCCGCCGCCGCGCCCGCCACCGCCTCCTCCACTTCCACGCCCACCTCCTCCTGCAGCATGACCGCCGCGGACTTCGGCGCGGGCGCCGCCGCCGGGGCCGTCGGGGGCCCCGGGAGCCGCTCGGCGGCGGGCTCAGGCGGCCCCGGGACGGGCGGCGGCGCCTCCTGCTGCTCTTGCTGCTGTTGCTGCTGCGGCCGCCCTGGCCGGCCCGGCCGCAGGGGTCGGCGGCACGGCTGCTCGCCAAGTCCCGGCTGCCACTGGGGCTACCAGGCGCTGTCTGTGGTGCTGCTGCTGGCTCAGGGTGGTCTGCTGGACCTATACCTCATCGCCGTCACCGACCTGTACTGGTGCTCTTGGATCGCCACTGACCTGGTGGTGGTGGTGGGCTGGGCCATCTTCTTCGCCAAGAACAGCCGGGGCCGTCGGGGCGGTCCAGTGAGCAGCACGCACAACCACCATCAGCTCCACCACCACTCGGCGCCGCCTCTGCACCTACCGGCTGCGGCGTCCGCGGGGGCCGGGGCGAAGGCTCGCGGGGGCCGAGGAGGCTCGGGCGGCTCGGGGGCCGGGCCGGGGACGGCCGGGGCGGCAGGCGAGTTCGCCTTTGCGTACCTGGCCTGGCTCATCTACTCCATCGCCTTCACTCCCAAGGTTGTGCTCATCCTGGGCACGTCTATCCTGGACCTCATCGAGCTGCGAGCGCCCTTTGGCACCACGGGCTTCCGCCTCACCATGGCGCTGTCCGTGCCGCTGCTCTACAGCCTGGTGCGTGCCATCAGCGAGGCGGGCGCGCCCCCGGGCTCGGCGGGTCCCCTGCTCCTGCAGCCACAGCAGCATCGCGCCGCGGGCTGCTTCCTGGGCACGTGTCTGGACCTGCTGGATAGCTTCACGCTGGTGGAGCTGATGCTGGACGGCCGCGTGCCGCTTCCCGCGCACCTGCGCTACCTGCTCATCGCCGTCTACTTCCTCACGCTTGCCTCTCCAGTGCTCTGGCTGTACGAGCTGAACACCACCGCAGCAGTTCCGTCCTGGGGCCAGGCCTCCGGGCCTGGAAGCTGCAGCCGCCTTTTGCGCTTGCTGGGAGGCTGCCTGGTGGACGTGCCCTTGCTGGCGCTGCGCAGCCTCCTGGTCGTGAGTTACCAACAGCCGCTGTCCATCTTCATGCTCAAGAACCTCTTTTTCCTTGGCTGCCGTGGCCTGGAGGCCTTGGAGGGCTGCTGGGACCGAGGGAATTGGGTTTCCCCAAGTCGGGCCAGAAGCAGCTATGGTGCTCCTCCCTCGGCCCCACCACCACCTCCACCACCGCCACCTCAGGGAGGCTCCCAGCGGGGCCACTTGGAAAATGAAGGGGGCCCTCACGGCTATGTCAACACTCTAGCTGTGGCCTCTCAGAATTGAAAAAGGTGAAGGGCAGGGCTCTTTGGCCTGAGAGTTTCTGGGCCCTTTGGCTGTGTTTAGAAGAGGTAACTGTTGATAAGGCTAAAGGCCAGTGAATTCTTCTGCACCCCATGGGTAGAGACTTCTTGGAGGGAGACCAGCAATATGTTGTGTGGGGAGAGGGTCCATGTTCACCATGGTCCTTCTCCATAGTCTTGCCTGTCCTGAGATACAAGGGACTGGATAAATGTGCCATCTGCTTTTCCTGCCTTCATCCTGTGGGGGAGTGAAGGAAAGAGGGGATTCAGGCAGGGGTGGTGGGCTTTGATAGCTGGAGTGTGTGTGTGTGTGTGTGTGTGTGTGTGTTTTTCTGGGTGTCTGTCCCATGCCCCTTGCCGTGGAAGGAGATCTAGGGAGGCCTTGCTGCCACCCACACAGGCCACCACCATCCTTTCCTGCCTGAATTTATGACCGGGATCCCCAGGAGTTGCTCAGTTGCTATACTCCAAGGGAAAAGCTCACCCAGGGTCATCCTCACTCCTGCTCCTCTGTTCTCAGCTTGGGGGAGAGAAGGTCTCTGCTGTAAGGACCAAACAACACCCTTTCTTGGGTGAGTGTGTATTTCTACCTCTGTGCTTTCAACTTTCATTGCATCACACACTGATGCTGCTCGCAAAAACAAAAAACAAACAAACAAACACAAAAAACACTCAGAAGTTGCATTCAGCATGGCCACTGGATCCCTTTGGGGTTTGGTACCAGATTTTACAGGGTCTGTGGAGTATCAGCCATTGGCTTGCTCTCTTTCGGTTCCTCCTTATGCTCCAGAATACTTACCCTTCCTGTGTTGGTACTGGCTGGGTTGGAACTGGGTTCAGAGCACCTGCTTTAGTGGGTTTGAATGTGTGTGAGGTCAGGCCTCTTAGGGACTCTCGGGGTGCCACCTGCTCCTCTAGAAAGCTCGGCATAGAGCAGAGCGTGGCAACCTTTCTTCTCTCGTCTGCGTCAGGTCTCCTCAGGGAGAGGGCATGCTGTGGGAGCCTCCTGCCCAGCCTTCCCCCACAGGGTCCTCCTGGCAAGGCTGTCCTTAGGATTGTCCCTCAAGGGAAGTCAGGGTTAGCTACTTTACTTTTGACTAGGGATGTCACTCTTGGAGTCTCTAAGCAGGATAAGTATGCTGAGGGGAGTCAAAGGTCAGAAGGCATGCGGAGCAAGGCCAGGATATACTCATCCCTACAATGGGATTGTGGGGGGGACCTTAAGAATTTTGGTTCCCTTTTCTTCTTCTGTTTTGGGAGTTTTATGTGGTGTAATGAACCTAGACAAGGGGCCAGAAAACATGATCTGCCTGTTATTTTCTGGATTTGAATGCCATGTCATTTTTACTTTCTAGGCCTCAGTCACCTTTCTAGGGTAGTATTCTTTGAGCTTGGAGCTTGAAAGCTCCGGGCTAATGCTGCCATTAGAGGCAGACATAAGAGGAGCTATCCAGGGTGTACTTGAGGACAGCCCTGCTTCTGCCCTGTGTCTGGCCTTGGGAGAGCTGAAGGGAGGTTTGCCAGCTAGGCTGGGGGTCAGGCATTGCAGGGCCCATTGATGCTGACCTCCTCTAAGGCCCACAGCACAGGGGCGCTGACCTCCTCTAAGGCCCACAGCACAGGGGCAGGCCCAAAGTGCCAAATCACTGACTACCAACTCAGCAGCCAGACCCAACTCCCTCATCCCCTTTGGCTCTACTAGGACCTCTGAGAACTGAGGGCCAAACAGGGCCCCTCTTTCTCAACTGCCTGGGGCTGTGGGCTGAGGATATCTAAGGGATGGAAACATGAGCAGCTGAGCTTGGCTCGAGCACTTGTGGGCTTGCCCAGCTCTCAGAGTGGGCCATGTGGAGGATGTTTACAGTCAGTGCATTCTTTGCTCCTGGTCCCTTGCCCTCAGCCAGTGCTGGCTGGCTGCTTCTCACAATACACCTGCCTTTACTGCTTGCCCTGGATGACTCCTCTTCTGACTGGACTCCCAGCCTGAGCCTAAGCCCTGGATAGGGCTGGAGCTGTTCTGTATTGGTTCTCCAGGTTCGCTGTGTTTCTCGCTACCTAATTTCAATGACTGTGAAAAGAAATTATGTCTGAGCCATGGCCGGCTCTGGCTGGCCCCAATCCACCCTCTTTCTACTGTTTGGATAGCCATCCCTCTACTATGTGACTGCTGTCTGCTGCTGAGAGACTGCCACTGGATTTAGGATGGAAGGCTGCCATTTCCCAAGTACATCCAGAGACGTGATCACATGGCCACTCGTGACAGAGGCCAGGACTGCTGAGGGCCTAGTTGTGGGCCCAGCACATCTCCAGCATCCTCTTCAACATGTCTTCTGTGAGTACTTTGTGCTCAGGGGGCTGGTCCCTTCCTTCTGATGTATTTATTTTGGGTCTTTTCACTAATTCCCCTGTCCCATTTGCACATGACCCTTAAGCCCCCCCCCCCCCCTGCTCTCTAGGGTATCTGTAGATAGGGATCAGACTTGAGATGTCCCCCAGGTGTCATGACCAGAATAGTACACTGTCCTGAGGCTTGTGCCAGAAGAATGGATCATGGAAAAGAAGCCTGGGCTCAGAATTTAGTCCTGCCTGCTCCTTTGAACATGGAAGGGAAGGGCCTATTACCCGAGTTCCAAATGGTACCTGTTTTTAAAAATGAGTTAATTACTTTGCAGGGCTGAGGATTAGACCCAGGGCCTCAAGTATGCTTGACAAACGCTAGTCAGCCTTCTAGCTCCATCTCCAACACGAAGTCTTATTCAATCTAAAGACTGTTCGCTCTAAAGACTTGCACCCCACCTTTGAAAATTTTCTTTGAGAAGGGGGGGTCTCACTATGTTCCCAGGGCTGTACTAGAATCTTGGGGCTCAGGTAGCCCTCTCACTTTGGCCTCCCAGGGAAACAGGTATGCACAGCTCTGTCTAAGCAAGACTATTCTGTTAAACATGCTGGGAACTGGGCCCTGGTGTGTGGGACACAGAGCTGGGAATTCGAGCCCAGAAGGAACTGAGAAGCGGCACCTTGCTAGCATTTATCACATTTTTTCCCCTCTTTTTAAAAATAAAACCAGACTCTGTTCTGAAAATAAAAACTTGAGACTTGTGACAAGCTTCCTGTGTGGTTTAAGATCATTCCTGTCCTGATTTCCTCACTGAATTCTTAAATGTCACTGTGACATTTATCATCATTTTATAGGTTGGTGTAGCTGTTATGGGCACACCTTAGTATTTGGTGTGCGACTTGGAGAGGCAGTGTACTGGGGCCAGGGCCTGGGGGTGTCTATCCTGACCTCCTGTTGTTCACAGAGGAATTTCCCAGTGTGCTGACTTCCTTCTCTCTGGGAGCAGCTTACCAGGCCAGACGGAAGGCAGGAGAGATGAATCTGCTCGTTTGAGACAAGCTCCCCCCCAACCCCCCGAGACAGGGTTTCACTCTTTAGCTCTGGCTGTCCTGGAACTTGCTTTGTGACCAGACTGGCCTTGAACTCACAGACATCTGCTTGCTTCTGCCTCCGGAATGCTGGGATTAAAGGCATGCTGCACCACCACTGCCTGGCCAAGACAGGCTCTTACTATGCTGCTCAGATCGGTTTCAAACACCTAGGTTCTAGGAATCCTCCTGCCTTGGTCCCCAAAGTGGCTGTGACTACAAGAATGTGCCCAGGAAGAAAGCAGCTTTAAATCCTCTTTCCTATGATCCACTCTTTCCTCAACTAGAAGCATAGTTTTTGGTGTAAGTAAAGTCACTGTTTAAAAACAAAACAGTGGGAAGGAGACTCTTGAGTCTCAGGTAGACCATGGGGTTCTCGCCCACAGAAAGCTGTAGGGCTGGAGGGATGGCTCAATGGTCAGAACAGCGCACTGCTCTTTAAGAGTTTGGTTCCCAGCACTCATATTGGGCAGGTTGAAGCTGTCTAAACTCTAGCCCTAGGCAATTATGCACCCTTTTCTGGCCTCCCTGGGCATTGCTCTCATGTGCACAAACATATACAAATACACACATCCATAATTAGAAGTAAAAATAGAATCTTAAAAAAAACTTAAGTCCTACTAATTTTTCTCAGTGAGCAGGGAGCCAGCATTATTCAGATCACACTGAGTTGTCACCAGCAGGACTCTGGAAGCAAATGAGAGCCCAGAACAGCAAGGAGCCCGGGCTCCACCTCTTCCTACTTGTGGCCGTGAGCAATCCCATTCCCTCCTGGAACTATTTCATCATTTCTAAAGCAGCAGTTGGAAGCAGGAGGTGGCAGGGCAGGCCTGCATCCTAGCACTGAGATAAGGCAAGAGGGGGAGTGTTCAAGGCCAGTCAGGAGTACAGAGCAAGATGCTGTCTCAGAACAGGCTGGAAAGGAGGCTCAAAGTTAGGAGCATTGACTGTTCTTCCAGAAGACCTGGGTTCGATTCCCAGCAACAGGGGGGCTCATAACCACCTGTCAGAGGACAACTCTAATCCCAGGGGATCTGATGCCCTCTTCTGGCCTCCTCAAGCACCAGGCACACATGTGTTATACAGACATATACATCAATCAATCAATAAATAAATAAACAGAGAGAGAGAGAGAGGGGGGGGGGAGCAAAGCAGGTGGATCTTTGTGCGTTCAAGGCCAGCCCAGCCTACAAAGCGAGTTCCAGGACAGCCAGGGCTGCACAGAGAAACCTGTCATGAAAAAACCAAAACCTCACACACACAAAAACAACACCACAAGAAAGAAGTGAGGTGGACTAGCAGGATGGCTCTGAGGGGAAAGACATTTGCCCCTAAGTCAGACAACTTGAGTTCACTTCCCTGGAGCCACACGACGGAGAGAGGACTGTCCCACCAGGTGCCCTCTGACCTCCACAGGCATACCACGGCACGTGCACATCCTCTCCCCACCCGCCCGCCCGCCCGCCCGCCCCCACACAAAATAAACACACCAATAAATAAAAGTAAGAACATTTTTAAAAAGAATAAAGAGGTGACATATACCAAAAACCACTTCTTGAGCCCGTGATAAATCTCACAGGCCGAAGTGTGTACAGAAACTATTTCCAGGACAGCATAAGGGCACCTTCTCATTTCCTCCTAAGTCTGGCCAGGCCTGTTGCACACTTTCAGACACATCTTTCAGGTGAGCCCGTGGCTCCTATTGGCTGTGGTGAGCTGGAGCTCCTCAGAGACACCTGGGAAAGCTGGAGGAGGGCTCTGGAGGACTGGTTCAGTGTGGGGACAGGGAGGCCACCACAGGTTAAAAGATGCTTCAGTACTGGTGCCAAGGAAGAGGACAAAATCACACCCCGGGGCACCAGGCCTTGGTGCACACCAGCTCATTTCCTGGACATGGCTGGGGTCATGTGACCCTAAGAGGCAAGAGCATATCCTCACAATGACCATCAGGCCGTGGTGCACACCAGCTCATTTCCTGGACAAAGGCTGGCTCCATGGGGTGACCACCCACCTTCATTACCCAAATGGACAGGGCTGGGGTGGGGACCAGGTGCCAGGAGAGACCACGTGTGGAGAGCGGGGTAAAGAGCAGGAACAAGGAGGTAGTCCTGGGAGCCACTTGGGAACAAGGTGATGTGAAAAGCCAGGAGTATGCAACCCTGCCAGCTCCTCCCACAGCTTGAGGAAGGGTGTGTTAGAGCACACAATTAGTGTGCTGCCCTATGGCTGCTTTCCCACAATGCTGTACCACTCAGTCAGTGTGGGCCACTCCTCACACTAATCTCAGAAAGCAAACACACCGCGGGGGGGGGGGGGGGGGGGGGGGGGGGGAGGTCAGTGAACAGCAGGAAAGGAGGCTAAGCAATGTCCCAGGATTCACAAGCTGCTCAACCCCACAATCAGGTCAGAGGCACAGGCTGGGCTTGTTGGGAGAGGTGGCAGTGTGGTGGAGAGCCACAGAGGGGCCCGGTGGTGGTTAACATGTTTTCAGCACTTCCTGGGTGGGGAGACCTCAGAGCCTCTCCTGTGAACCTCACCCATCCCTTACAGACCACTATGAGGGAGGAGCTACTGCTGTGCCCATTTTAGAGATGGCAACCTGAAGCCTAGGAAAGATGTCCTATCTAAAGCTGCTCAGCTGGTGAGCAGTGGGGCGGGGACGCTCTTTGTAAGGGACTTTCTGTCCAACACATCTGACTCGGGAGGCTCAGAGAGCACTTGGGCTGTTGCTCTCCTGCACTGCTGGAGCCATGGTGTCTGGCAGCCCTGGGTGAGCAGCTTTTCTCAGGAGGTGCCAAGGTAGGGCAAGGCCCGGTCTTCCGAGTACTTAGAACGGGGGTCTAAACACTCTGGAATCACAACTGTCCACTGCACGCTAAGGACACCATCCTCTCCTTTAGTCCCTTTTTGTTGTTGTTGTTGTTGTTTCTTCAAGACAGGGTTTCTCTGTGTAACAGCTCTAGCTGTCCTGGAACTCCCTCTGTAGACCAGGCTGGCCTAGTCTACATAGGGATCCGCCTGCCTCTGCCTCCCGAGTGCTGGGACTAAAGGTGTACGCCACCACCGCCCGGCCCTTATTCCCAATTGTATTTTCATGTCTTTCTTCTGGTGCCGGGGATGATACCCAGGGCCTCAGGCTGAGCGAGCCATCAATCACTGAGCTGCAGCCCCAGCCTTACCTGTTACATTTTCTTTTTTTAATTTCTTTCTTTTTTTTTTTTTAATTTATGTGCATTGGTGTTTTGCCTGCATGAGGGTGTCGGGTCCCCTGGAGCTGGAGTTACAGACAGCTGTGAGCTGCCATGTGGGTGCTGGGAATTGAACCTGGGTCCTCTGGAAGAGCAGCCAGTGTTCTTAACCGCTGTGCCATCTCTCCAGCCCCCCGTTTCATTTTCTAAGGTAAGTAAAAGCTAAGCAAACCCATCTTCGCCTCCCACTCTCAGATGGCAGCTGGAAGGCAGCTGGAAGCGTGACTAAGGGATTGCACGGAGCCTTCCCAAGTATTGCTAGAAAGTAGCATCAGGCGATGCCCAGGTCACCATCTAATTGTCCCTTCTTCCTTCCTTGTTTCTTCCCCAGACCTCTTTTCTTGATTAGGCTCAAGATAGAAGAGGTCAGAGCCACCTCCGCAGTCAGGAGCTTGCCTGGGGATGCATTGAAGTACCAATTTTGGGTACATGCCCCATGGGAAGTCTGGTCACATGCTTATTGATGTTTTCTACTCACCAAGCCTCCCCTGCTACTTTCTAGGAGATGGCCAAAGAGCTAAGAAAGCAGAACATGGGGACAGTGGCTTCTGTCAGGGGGAGGTTCTTCTTACAAATAAAATCTTGATTTTTTTTTTTTTTTCCCCGAGACAGGGTTTCTCTGTGTAGCATTGGAACCTGTCCTGGAATTCACTTTGTAGTCCAGGCTGACCTCGAACTCACAGAGATCCGCTGGGCTCTGCCTCCCGAGTGCTGGGATTAAAGGCGTTTGCCATCATGCCCGGTTTCTTGAAAGACTTTTGTGCATGAGTATTTTGCCTGCACCTATGTGTGTACACCGTGTACATGTCTGGTGCCTGAAGAGGCCAAAAGGGGGCAGTGGATTCCCTGGGACTGGAGTATAGGTGATTGTGAGCTGCCATGTGGGTTCTCGGTACTGAACCTGGGTCCTCTGCAAGAGCAGTACACGCTCTTCAGCCATCTCCAACCCCAAGATTTTGTGGGTTTGCTGAGGAAGCATGTGTGCTAGGAAAGTGCTCTACCACTGTACCCCACCTAGCCCCCCAAACAGGGTTCCATTTACTCCTATTTATTGATGTGGGCTGAGATCAGATGCTCTCCTTCCAGGTGGGTCCCAGGGATCGAACTCAGGGTATCAAGCTTGGTGGCAAGCACCTCTACCTGTGGAGCCATCTCTTCTCATCTTTTTTCTCTTTTGAGGCAGGGTCTTACCATAACCAATGCTGGCAATCCTCCTGTCTCAGCCTTTCCAGCGTGCCACCATGCCAGGCCTAAGCAGTTTCATTGGGCACGGTTCCAAATAATGCAAGCATAAAGGAATGCTTTAAATGTTCTTGACGATCTCGGCGTTTGTGGGATGGGGCGTAAAGAGCATGAAATGGCCAAGAAGCCCAGAGAACTCTGACTCCATTGTATGAAAAATTTGGAACAGACACATCTGGAGTGAGTGAAAG